ATAGAAGTTGTTATCATTTGTAGGAGAAGACAAGAAAATTAGCAAGAAACAAATAGTTTTTTTAATAGCCCGATTTCCCTGTTAAGACTGTAAAATGTAAGGAAAGAAAGAGAATATTTGTATTTTAATACTCATGTCATCAAATTGTGATATTATAGTCATAAATTATATCTTTTGAGAGGTACCAAGCTATTATGGCAATATAACCTTCATTAAAAATACAGTACAATAAAGAACCGTGCTATAAAACTCCTTTCAACAGTAAACAGTGTGTAAATCATTTTAGTTAATCTACATTTATACCGGAGTTTACAAAACATGTTTAAAATTAAAATTTACAACAAATAAGTTGTTTCCCCTCATGGAAACACTTACTTTACAGGACTTTTTAAAGCCTTATTTACAGTGGAGTAATCATCAAAATTCTGAATTTTTGGCAACAATTATTATTGAAAACTAAATTGTGAAATTGTTGTTCTAAACTTGGTTATATTAGCCAGCTATATTTACTAAAAGCCCAATGATCAGAAAGTTCCAAAGACACTGCTGACCTTTCTAAGGATAGCCCTCTTCTGATTGGCTGATGTTGCCAATTCTGAGCAATGTATAACCTCTTAGCTACAAAGCTATATCAAATTTATTACAGCATTTTCAAATATCTTAAGAAAATATTCACTAAGTGCTGCCTACAAATAAAATCTGAATTTGATCGTAGTACAAGAACTACAACAATATAAATAAAATTAAAATTAAACAGTTTGATTCCAAACAAAAATATTTAGAATTCCTTTGAATATAGATGTTACACATTTTACTTTTGAATATTAAAATCATACGTATTTTGGTGTAAGGGACTTGAGAACACTAAAATCATTTTATCAATAGAACCATTCATTATTTAACCATTTTGCTATCACTATTGAATCCTCCATTGGAAAGTACTTATTGAAAAATTAATGTTTTTAAACATGTGCACAATGTGAAATAATTAACCACACTACAACAATGTTACACTATAAAACTTCAAGCAGACTGACCTTGCACTTTTTAACCTTAATATTTAATCATTTTAATCTAAGGTAGGCCTATACCAAGTTATACTGAGTTTTATGGCAAAATACGAATTTTCGTGAGGTTGTGGCTTTCGTCAATCACGTTTTAAGCCTATAAGTCCCTAGTTCCAAAATGTTGTCAAAATTCCTTCCGCTGGATTTCGTGATATACATTAGAGACATACAGACAGATAGGCAAACAGAATTTGCTCGTATTAAAGTATGGGATAAATTAATTTAGTTGTTTATTTTGAACGCGATGAATTTAAATTACTTGGTATCTACGAAAAATAACTAATATAAATTACTTACCACTGTAAATAAGATACAAAACACCACTTTCGGTATCATTTTTGCTCTAGCATTCACTTCAATAATTACTATATTCAACCAACTAAATGATGACTGAAGTATCCCATGAAGTAATTTTGCTTCTATTTAAGACACATGGGAAATCACTGAGTTATCCTCCCAATGATTGAAAAGGCTGTCATCATTTTTAATATTCACCAAACATGTTTCAGATTTCCTCTTGAATATGAACAAGATTCTATAAATAATTCCGATTTAATTTGTGATACTGTGGAATTACTGACTAACAAAAATATTGTCACACGTTTTATCATGGTTGTGATTCAATGCACAGTTTATCTTCATGACTTAACAAAAAGTGATAATTTTGATAGGAAATGTGGTTTTATTTTATATTTGTACGTTTACATGCACAAAATAATCTACTATCTGAGTTTAGGTACTTATATATTAAGAACCATTACAGACTTCTCATCCTATTGTACATTTTGAAGCTCGTTTTTCTTGTCTAGTTCATGTCTCGTGAAACGGTGTCGCTAGTGTCGATGAAACTTTGTTTCTATTATTTTAGGGTTAATTTAATGATTTGTGCTTTATTTTTTGCTTATATAACTAGGGGACAGTTATTTTTTATGATTAGATTGTTTTATATGGTTAAACAAGGTTTTAAATGACTTTATGACTTTATATGGTTTATCGGTATAAAGGAAAACAAATTGTTAACAAAACACAATCTCAACAGTGCACCACACAGAACTAACAATACAAATTGTTGGCTTCAGCTATTCCATAAGGATGAGAAAATTTGGTCTCATTGGAGTATTTTTTATTCATGTCATTACTTCCTATTTATTAATTTACAAAGCTCGATTGCAGTTCAGCTCCCAAACCATCATTCAATTTGAAAATATTTTGCTATGTCTATATATGTGGCTTGTGTAAGTTCTGTTCTTTACTTGGAAATAAATACAATACAAAGATGACAAAATCATTACATTACATTCTATACACTTTGGTATAACACGATTAATAAAAATTATTGATATTGTTTTCCCCTATTTCATTCTCTAGATTTTATTTGATGGATTGATATTTTGTTTTGGAAATTATTGGTATTATACAAGCTATAACATTAAACTCTTTTAAATGAATACAAATTTATTTAGAAAAGAAGAACTAAAAGATATATATATATATTTTTAACATAGCCCAATTTTTGGTTACCATTCTTGATCCACCATTTGGGATTGGGCGTAGTAAAACATATATATATATATCTATATAAATAAAATTAGAGTTTTGTCTGTACATTGCTTAGAATAATGAACTTTTTGGTTATTTTTACATTTCATAGGTCAGAGAAACCGAATCAAACCTTATCTCAATTTCTGTCTGTCTGTCTGTCTGTCTGTCTGTCTGTCTATCTGTCATTCTCTTGGTAACGCTAAAATACGCACTTTATTACAACTACTCCTCAATAACTATAGCACTGTCCCGCCTGAAACTTATTTTCCAAATACTATACATATATGAGATGGTTTTAGACGTATTTCATCGAATATGAGACAGTTAGATATTTAACAGTAAACCCTTGAAAATCAAGTTTTTGTCGATTTTTGACGTGGAATTTCTGGAAGCCCATGTTAACCTTATGAGAAATGAAATTATTGAATCTTAACAGCTGTTTCAATTAAACAAGTTGGTTCTGTTCTGTGATGTTCAATAGCATTAAAGTTACAAGGATTACCAACAGGGTGCAGCACTAGCACTATTATTTCTTTTACATTTATGACAACAGCTAATTTGCAACCTGGAGGCGAGTGAGCGTAGCGAACGAGCTAACCTGAAGGCAAGTGAGCGTAGCGAACGAGCTAACCTGAAGGAAAGTGAGCGCAGCGAACGAGCTCCAACATACAGGTGAGTGAGCGTAGCGAACGAACTTCAACCAGGACGTGATTGAGCCATGCAAACGAGATCAGATAGTAAAAATAAAAGTAAGCCTACCGTTATAGGATCGACCGGCAGACACAGAGGTAATTTAACCTTTTATTGATTGTCATACCGATCCGGAACAACAAAAAACAACATAAAATGAAGCTATGTATAATAGTTTAGCCAGCATATCTTAAAATATGCAAACCAACTGCTGTTCTTTATATAAGAAGGTTTCAACTGAATATTATAAGATCCCCGTGCGTAGAACGGGTACACAGCTAGTATATATATATATATGGACAACTCGACAGTCTGTGCCACATTAATTCGATGCACGTTTTGTAAGATATTGTGCATGAATCCTCAATCACTCTATCATGTTCCCGCTTAGCAGATCTTAAGAAGTAATATTTTTTCTACATTAAAATAACAGGAGACAAACACAGCCTCTCGAGCCTCATTGGACATTTAATTAGAAACACAACATACACTGTAGTTTACTGTTGAGTTTTTCTCCTTTCCTTGGTTTCCGAAGATGAATTCCTTACATAGCTGTTTAGCGAGCTTTTTCCAAATTAACAAATGTGACCTTCTGCTTCCAGGTCACATTCACTGTATCAAATTGCTCCTCCCCAGTCTATTGATGATGTGTCCACTTTCCACACGGTTTTTACAACTATCAGCTAAGTATATTATCTTAAAAGATATAGAAAATGGGAAAGGATGACTCACCCTTAATATGTATATAATAGTATACATATTAATTTTCATATTCTTACATTGAATTAAATTAAAAATTCCATTTGGTTTTCAGTTTAAAAAACTCTCAACAACACTAATATTTATTTTTCCTACACACTGCATGTAAATTATCACATTGCCACACCAGTTAACAGTACACAAAATAGATAATTTACGCTTTAGAGCGGGAATGATAAAATGACCACTACCCCTTGCTTAATCAGCTGATTTCACAGTTGGCATTTCTATGCCAACCACAGCCGCGGAGCTGGTAAGCTCAAGCAGTAAGCTCAATCATAACCTAAAATATGAAACATAACCTAAATGACATGTTATACAGGGTGAGTTTTAGTCCCTCCCCCCCAACTATTTCTTTAATATGACAAGTTAGCTATTGGGGTAGAAAAATTCTACAACAGTTCTGAGGTACCTTGTGCTCTAAGGGGTATACAAATAGCTATTCTTGTCTTTGAAAAACATCTATAATTTTTAAATTGGTCATTAACCAATCAAGAGCTTAAAGTGGTCTTTGAACCACTGAGTCACAGTATTTTTTCACTGCTAAAAGTCTTTGCTGATTGAAAGGATTTGAACCCATACATGCTTGCCAGCTTCCAATATCCCCTGATGGCTTTTCAATATGGTAAGTGAACAAAAGTTCACATTCATTTAGTTAGTAGGATAAAGGTGTAAGGGAGAATGTAGTCTAGGAGTTTTTAACTAAGTTTTTTTTATCTGGCTTGACCAGGGCTAACCTTTGGTGTTTTGATTAGAAAACGTACTAATAACACGTTATGCACTTATTTTGTTATTTTTAGAAATCAAAGAATTTTGAGTGTTTCAGGCGGTTACCGGATTAAAATGCATCTGGAAACCAAGAGATGGAAACACTCATATTTTTACTGAAACATGTATTTTTATTTTTGGAGATTGGAGAAAAGAAAGGAAGAACTATTTAACTTCTTACTTTTGTATACAGTGTATTGATATCAAAGCCAATTCAGTAATATGAAATTGAATTTTTATCAATGCTATCATATATTTTCACCACTACACACTCTTACTCTCTCAACCACATCTTCAATATATTTACTATGAAAACTTGATGTTTTATGAAAACATGCTTTAATTCCATGCTCGATCTGTGGCAGCAAATCACGTAGTATACTAGAGTAGTTTTCAGTCTGGTAAATAATGTCACTGATGTCAGATGGGATAACACGTGCTGCTCTAACAATACAGACAATAAAAGTGAAGGGATTGAACCCAGCACTAGTACAGGCTAAGATGTCAGCAGCAATATCAGTTGTATCTTTGTAAATGCCGTAGACGTATGTGGCCGAGTCAATTCCAAGGGAGGCAAAATCCTTCAGAAGAGTGGAGACACTGCAGTTGTAGTATTTGGCTAACAAAAGCCTCTCGTTGATTTCGATATCTGTGGAATGTTTGAAGGAACATTCTTCTGGAAAAGTTTCTAAAGATTGTTTCAACTCCATTGACTTAGCTGCTGCTAATTCCTGGATGGATGTTGAATGGTCAACAAACACTTTAAGCACTTTGTCAAGAGCTTCCAAACTCTGGATGGCTTTGTTATGTTTGGGATTTTCTGAGGAATCCAAAGATGGTTTTGCAGCAATCTGGAAACCATGAAGTTGTTAAGCAAGAGTAAAATATTAGTTATAATTCTTCCTATCTTCCTGTCTGCTGGGACTAGGATTTGGTAGGAACAGTGATGGGATGTTACAGATTAGATGGCAATTTATATCATTTGTAGAAGAAAATAAGATGAGCACGAAACAGTTAAAGAGTCTTAGAGCCACAAAAATGGCTCAATTTCCCTATCGAGACTGTAAAAGGTACAAAAAGAATACGATAATCTTTAACCTTATCAGTCCTCATCCTTATAGTAATAAATTATTCCTTCTTTTGAGAGAGACCAAGCTATTATGGCAACATAATTATTTACCCTTCAATAAAAATACATAAGCACAATAAAAATCCGGTCAACAGTAAACAGTAAACAAAAATCATTAAGGCCATATTTATAATGGAGTTTGCGAAACTGCTTAAACAGACTCTATCAACGGTTTTTCAGTTCTTACAATACAAATTTTGTTTTCCCACATAGTCAGACAAATGTTTACAGGACTTCTTAAAGCCCAGTTTACAGTAGAGTTTACAGGAAAATGTGTCGAGCTTGTGTTGGCAATAGTTATTGTTGTTGATAAATGTATTAAAAATGTTAGTTTTATTTCATGAAAACAACTTTTGAAAGTGCAAATTTATGGCATATTTTAATTTAATCGGGATGATTAACTGGCTTGTGTAGCTTTGCTGTTCGATCAGCTGTTTACTAATTCAGATATATTTACTTAAAATGCACTGGCCAGCAAGGACAGGAAGGTCCCAAAAGCTGCTGACTTTTCTAAGAATAAACCATCCGATTGTTGCCACTTCCGAGTACCGTAGCCACTAATCTAAACAGCTGTCTCAAATTACTTATTATTAAAAAAAAAACAATAGTATTGTGTTCTTAATAATCAACAAAGTGCTTTCTACAAATAAAATCTGAATTTGATCAGGTATGATAAACGTAGAACTAAAATACAGTACTTTAGTAAAAATAAATAGAAAAAATAATAATGAAAGTTATGGATCCTATACAACAGATTTGTAATTTCTTGTAATACAGTATACCGTTGGACATAGATGTTACAAATTTTACTTTTTGAAAACTAAAATAATGCTGATTCTGGTGTAAGAGATTTGAGAACACTTAAAGCATTTCCTCCTTAAAACCATTCATTATTTACAATTATGCTTTCATTATTAAATCCACCATTAAACATTTTTTCTGTTACTATTTTTAATAAATGCACTCAATATGATATAAATATCCACATTACAAATTTTATACTAACACTTTTTTATCCTACTAATATTATAAATGAGAAAGTTTGGATGTATGGTTGTATGGATGTATGTATGTTTGTGACAAGTAAACGCGAAAAATACTGGTCGGATTGGGCTGAAATTTGGTATGATGATAGCTCACATTCCCGATTAACATATAGACGCATTCTTATCTCAAAAGTCCTATCGGGCTCCGCCCCAGTGGATCTGGAGTTTATGAGTAATCATATTTAAAAGGAATAAACGAATTTTGTCAGCTGTTTCAACTACACAAGTTGGTTCTATGATATTGAATAGCATTAAAAGTTACAAGGTTTACCAACAGGGTGCAGTACTATTATTTTTTTACATTTATGACAACATCTATCCTATAAAGGCCATAAAGGTTAAATTATGTTTTTCAAAGGCTTATGTGTAACTATTTTATCAACAAATGTAAAGATAAAAATGTTTCTATTTCGTGTTTTCTTCCCGTTGCAAAGCACGGGTACAACAGCTAGTTTTTAATACTTTATCATATTATTCTTACTAGCAGCCTGCGTCACATCGTGACTTCAAAATCTGTGGTATAATATTCAAATTAATTTACAGTTTTCTATTGCTCTGCTCTGAGTTAAGATTAAAATTATATATTTTTTACATGATAATCATTATTTCTAGAAAACACAAACTCTTACGCAAGTCATTATTTTCTTTACATTTTAAACAAATAACATTACAATATTTTACTTGAATTCACTAAAACATCACCAACGATAACCCCATTTCGTAGGGATGTAAAGAAATTTGTATCATGGCCATCTGTTTTAATGTAAACAAATGTAAACTTGAAAAATTTCAGATGATTGACAAAAGAATTTAGCACAAACTCTGAAATTTTTAAATCCTATAGGACGAAGGGCTTTCACGGGATATTATCCAATCCCGCAAAAGGGGCATCTAGAGAATAATAACTTTAAATTCATACCCAATATACCTACAAAAATAATTATTTACGGGTCTATTTGCTGCACACAAAAATCCAACAAAAGTCTTTAATAATATAGATTCTTTAATGATAATATTGAAATAATACCTATTAATATGCCTTATGTATGAACAATTAATTAATTGTTGTCATTTTGAACACAACAAATTTAAAGTTAAAATTCATCCCACTTGGCATCTGTAAAGTAACTTTTATATAAATTACTTACCACTGTAAACAAGAAACAAAACGCTAATTTTGGTATCATCTTTACTCCGGCATTCACTTCAATAATTACTAGTTATTCAACCAACTAAATGGTAACTGAAGTATACTATAAGGTATTTTGCTTGTAATTTAAGTCACATGGGAAATCACTGAGTTATCATCTCAATGATTGAAAGGCTGTCATCATTTTTGATATTTATGAAACAAGTTTCAAGTAACCTCTTGAACATTATCTTGATAACCAATGCCATTTTCATTGTTCTCATACTGAGGAGTGAACTTGAATTACAAAATATAGTCACATGTTTATCAGGGTGCTTTATTCACTGCACAGTTTATATCCATGACAAAAACTTATATTTTAGAGAGAAAATGTGATTTTTTTTTCTTTAATTGTATATTTACGTACCTACACAAAGCACCTATCTGAGTTAGATACTTTTAGTAAATTTCTCTATAGGGAAGTATGGCTATGAAAGTAGGTCTCGTGGTAAGACCTATACCTGGGACTGATTAACTATCCCAAGAGGTCAAAAACACTATTCGTTTAAAATTAAAAAATGTATATATATACATAATCTATATATACTTATTTAATACGCAAGCAGGTTTTTTGTGACAATTACTCCTCCGAAACTACTGAACCGATTGACATGTTTTTGGTGTCATTGGAAAGAGCGTAACGTGAAGTTGTGCAGGAAACTTTCTTTTTAGGGAAATAATTAGCGAGTGAGGCCCTGGGGCCCTTTAAAGTTTCGTATTCCTCCATAAGATTAACATGGGAAACAAACATTTTTAAGAATCGCCAGCTGTGGTCAGAAATTAAAAATGAGAAGAAGAACATATGTTAACTGTAAACAGTCAATGTTTACTAATTTAACAGTTTGCTACAAACATTTACTGACTTAGTTGAAATGAAATGTGAAATATGTACCATTTGAATTTGGGTTGGTGTAAATATTACAATAGAAAAAAGCGAGAGAGCCTGGATAAATTGATATACTAAGAAGAAAACTGAACCAACATTGTGCTGCATTTCTTAGTAATCATTGAAAGAGCCGATTTGCAAACCATGGAAACATAGGAAAGTCATAGAACACCACTAAGGAGAAGAAATAGAAAGTCATCAAAAATTACGACTGTTATTCGTTTTAAAATAACGCCTGTAATACTTAGCAATTGCTCGAATTCGAGCAACAGGGACACTAGTATATATATATTATAGTAAAATCATTTTGGTAGCAGATTCAGCACGCTTACTTACCGTCACACAAGCAATCATCCATTAACATCAAATTACCCCAATAAGTACACCACCCATCCGCTACATATGCAATTTTTAAATGATTTTTTTTTTATTTTTTAGCAATGGCTGCCTGCACAACTGCTTTGTCACAGCCTGTAGTAGTTGTAGGAGATGATACATAGGGTTACCTCCCGCTATCTCCACGTCCCGCCACCTCCGTGTACCGCTAACTCCGAATTTCAGAGTGACCCCTATAATCCTCGGTTACTTCATACGTTAAGACTTTCCGTCCAAACCTAACCTAACCTAACTTAACTTAACTTAACCTAACCTAACCTAACCTAGTCTAATCTAACCTAACCTAACCTAACCTGACCTAACCTAACCTAACCCAAGGGTTAAATTTTCATTAAATCTTCCATCCACGGGGCTTCGCAGCCGTGGATGCAATGACAGCTAACAACGCAGGCAGTGACGGGATTATAAGGGTCACTCAAGAATTCGGAGATGGCGGGACAGATTTTGGTTCGGAGATGGCGGGACAGATTTGGGTTCGGAGATGGCGGAACGCGGAGATAGTGGGAGCACACGTCTATTACAACGCCACTTGGTCAGCAATCATGAGACCACCTATCTCTATCTATGCAAGAATGGGTCAGATTTGAATTGTAATCGTGCTTCGAAGTTCACAGAAAAGGTAGCCACTGGACGCCAACACCAACAAAGCTGTGAGCATGCATGCGACATAGTGGGACTGGGTCGTAATTAAGATTAAAACGTGTGTTTATTGCAATTGATTTATTACTTACTACTTTAAAATACCATTATTATATCCTATGTAAAAATACCACATGTGCCCCGGTACCATATCATACCGTCTCATGGTGTAAAATCTCATTTTAAGTTACATATTTAGTTTACTGGCCTTTGTAAAAGTTTAAATCGATGTACTGCAACCTATTTCTAAATGTAGGTTTTTTTATTTTCCTTCCATGGAGCGTATTTTGTTGACTTCCACTTTATTACTTTAAATTAAATACAATCATATTTCAAGCTTCATACCCTTGTAAACATTGAGTTTGACATAGAACACCCTATATCTAAAGGTAAGTTTTATTTTATTTTTCCTCCATGCAATTTATTTTGGTGGCCATTTTGTGGTCAAATCACGTTTTAAGTTCCATATTTAGTTTCCCCAACCTTGTAAACATTGAAAACGATTTACTACACCGGTACGTATAGCAATAATGTTTTAATTGATTTTTTTCTGGGAGCACTTATTATCTCCATTTAAATACCCTAATATCAGGTATTTCCCAAGTCAGATTTCGGTAGACTTTTTTGCTGTTGTGTGGAGCTATAAAAAGTAATGAAATCCGCTGAGAAACCCTTCGAAACAATTTTGTTGAACCTCCACTATATATTTCTCTAATGACCTCACTATAATGGTAAATCGTTTGGTTCTTGAATGTATACAGTTTTTCTTGTAGCTCTGTCTCTTCTTGTTTCCTTGGACTTGGACAACCTTCCCAACATACAGTAAGCACCTAGCCAACCCCCAGCTGGCACAAATAGTGTGCAGTCTTTACGTTTTATTTGTTTGATGAAGGCACACTATTTTAAGAGGGTTTCACTTTTGACTATTAATACAACGATATTCCATCCCCATGTTAAATTTGTAGCCAGTTTTTAAACCAAAATTGTCGTAGTTGATGTGAGCCACCGATAGATTGTGCTGATATAAACTACTGATTTCGGTTGAATACACAATCTTTTTTACCAATTCAAGCCAATGGAATGACTTATTGTGAACTATAGAAACTGTTATGAACCCTCAACTTGGCCAGAAACAAAAAATAAGGTAGAAAATAGAGTTTTAGTCGCTAGCGCATTCTGTGACTGGCTCACACAACTACGTTCTTTATTTACACAAAATTGGCCACAGCTGGTCCATATAGATGGGAAGTCTAAATGGTTCCACTCACCGGCTGGTTACCACGTAAACATGCTCCTACGGTGTACGAACCTCTTGGCATTATTAATGTGTTTATCGAGTTGAAATGAACTGTAAAATATTTACAAAGATCCAAACTATGCACTGGCTGAACTGAAACTTCATAATAGTTTCTTTAAGTATTTACAAAATCATTTTGAAACACTGTAAATTAGTATTTTCACGTGTAATTTTATGTTTTAAATAATATTTTAACATTAATCCCCATCCATTGCAAGATCTGATATGTTAAGAGCACAAAAAAAACACAATCATTGGAAACACATTGGTTTTACAGTGTTTTGAGAGCTTGTCCCGTAGAGACATGATTAGAAAAATTAGCATGTTTAGCCTTAGCCACCATTATTATTGTTTAATAAAAGGGGAAAATACTATTGTTTTATAGTTTGTGTTATTCATATTCATGCCTTAATTACAATTAAACAGATGGATAGATGCGAAGACATATTTAATAAGTTCAATAGTCTTACAAATTTACAATTTACCAATGGTAACAATTAACAATATCTCGCAAGATATTTTTTGTCAGCATGTGTGCCTGTGGAGTATACTCCTGCAGAGCTTCATGAATAGCCTGTATATCTGGTTGACAGTTCTTTGCCAGTTTCAAGAAACAAGTGATACTTTTTGGAAAACCTGTGATTGCACAGGTATTGACTTGGTCAGCAATAGACTCAAGGGAGGTTGCAGCGTCATTCGCAAAGTCTACGGTAGCCTCAACCAAATCGGCAAAGTTAGATTCAACATCTGTGAAATTGCAGTTTTGTTTGTCGCTTCGGACAAACCCTAAGGTATCAAGTCTGACTGCATGCTTGATACTAGTTTCCTCTCTTCGCAGAGTCTGTAGTCCAAACTTAATCACGGCCAGAGCTCGGCGTACCGCGCTCGACTGGAACTCCTTGGAAGAAGGTAAGAGCTCAAAGAAAGGGTCTTTGGTTTCTGTTGAAGACACCTGCACAAGGAAAAAACATGTTAATTAGAATAATAGTTTGGGTTTTTCTTTTTAGTTTTTTTTATAAAAGTGCACTAACCCAAGAGTAACTAGAATGGTATCTCTCTTTGCTGTATGGTATATACACCTTTTCTTGATTTTATTTTTGACCATGACAATTCTATGGATTAATCATGTCTGCACTTAATAGATGTCCTATTTAGAAGTTTTAAAAGCCTATCAATCCAAATAACCTTTTTTAATGCTGTTACAAATGTTAGAGTTAAAAATTGTTTAATTTTGTATGTTTTATGGAATTCACTGGATATAAAAATAAAATTCTTATTTTTAAAACAATAATTGTTACTGGCATAAGGGGTTGAATTCTTACTCAGATAAAATTTTCAAATTTTACTAATAGAGAAGTTAACTGGCTGTGATTGATATGAAGAGTGCACCTTTAGTTTTAAATGGATAAAGTACAAAAAAGATCAGTCCATTTTTGCGTTTATTCAATTAAACATCTGCTTGTTGGGTACATTTTGCGTAATAAAACTAACTCGGGGGCAAAGTGATTTTTTGGTTCTTATTTAAATGTTCAACCCATAGAATTTCAAAATAATAGCTGAATATGAATTTTGTTTTGACTGTGAATCTTGAAATAATGCGTTAAAGGGACTATGCATTAGTTCTTTGATATTGATTACCTATGATATAATACCTAACATTTTAAAAGAAATTGATTAATATTCATTGTAAATTCAACTGTCGCCAAAAAATTGTTTTGAAGGCACTTGATAATAAATATTTGTAGCATACGTAGTCTTTTTAGTGGTTGATTCAGAAAACAACACTATGCAGAAAATTGAGCATAACCGGGGAGTTTGGAAGATAATTATAAGGGGGCTCCTTGGATATTATTGGTAATTTAAACTCCCAAAATACTATATACTTAATATTTTAAGATTTATTTTAAACACTCTCTACATTAAAACCATCCACAATTGCCCTATCTTATATTTGATAGCCTATCATAAAGACTATAAATTTCAAAATAATTAATTGTCATATTTTTACATGGCAAATATTTAATACGTCTTGTTAGAGAGTATAACAATAACAAATCCACATTTTAATACCGACAGTCCATCAGAGTCTTATTATTTTCTAGAATGATAAGAAACAATAGAAATGGTACATGTTTATCCTACAGTAATTTGTATTTGCAAGCTAAAATACCTGAGATCCCAGATAGATAAAAAACAGAAGACTCAACGAAGATGCAGTCTTCATCTTGCTGATGCTTATTGTCTGATGATTTCAATCTAATAGCTGTCAGCTTTTGGAGAGACTCTTCAAAATCAAAATTTATAAAAGCTTTCCATTTCTCAGCTTTTAATTGTAATTCAAAGATAATGAAACGAAACATGACAATGCTTTTTGTTCTGTCCTTCAGTAAAAGAGGAATAATGGCTGATTGCTTGGTTTTGTGATGTTCACTTCAGATTATCTTGATTCTAAGATGACGTTTCAGTTGAGTGGTTTGTTTATGTACAAATTAAGATATGTTGTCTTTACTTTCCTTTTAGAAACTTAAAATTTGCAATATTACTGCAAAAAATGTAATATAATTTATTTAGAATTAGTATTTTGTACAATAGTTATGAATAACCAACAAAATCCCTGTCTTTTTGGGACAGGGTGGTCCAAAAAGATCTGACACATTTTAACATAATTTTTTATTTACAAACTTTTGACTACATAGTAGCATTTACATATGAACATATTAAAAAACTAAACTTTTTGGTAATATTCAACAAATCTTAATATAGTTACCGTTTAAGGCTCTGCAGGCGTTAAATAAAAATTTAGCAAATCGCACACCTATGCAGCATTTATCGGCGATGGAATTAATATTGCATGGGTAATTCCGGCAGAGCCTTAAACGGTGGCCATTTGAGATTTATTGAATATCACCAAAAGCCCTTTTGACTTTTTCTATATGTACATATGTAAATGTTTCCGTGTACCTAGTTAAAATTTTGTAAATAAAAATGTATGTTAAAATATGTCAGTACTTTTTAAACCTCCCTACATTATTTCCAAGTGGGGTAGAAACAGATATAGAACAGAATCTCGTTTAAATTTTGTTTACTTAAATATTTTGTACGATTTTCTTATTTTTAATAAAATCTCCAAAAGTGCCAAAAAATTGTTTGACAAATCCCAGAAGCCTCCTTACATGACAATTTAACAATAATTTCTCCTTACAGTTTAAAAGCTGTAACAATTAACAGTATGGGTGCACTCTGCTGGGTAACAGTGGCTTATTGTCAACAGCTGACCTTTCCAAAAGTCAGCTGTAGTATAACTCTGAGCTGGACTATACCTATCAACACCTATACAGCTATACCCGTGCCTTGAAACGAGGTCAGTATGCAAAAGAGACAATGTTGGTTCTTTGTAAATGGCTTAAAAATGGTTTCACAGCTATCATTTGATTTTGAAACTAATTTGAACTGAATAACTTAACTTGATAATAGTACGTTTTTGTTAACTCAGACTGTGAAATTTTAAGTTAGGCTACCTAGGACACAAAATCAATAATATATTTTAAGGTATAATCAAATAACATGTTGAATGGTATGTACTTGTACTATAAACGAAAAGCTATCACAATAGTTCCAAACCTGTCAACAGTGTATTTTTCTAACTTATTTTTGTGAAATTATAAACAGGCAAATGGAAATATTCGCTTGGTCTGCAGGTTTGCTGTGGCAGGGGTATCTTATTACTATTTACACAAAAATGTATCTACAAAAATAATTATCATAAAACTCAGGACAAGAGTCTGACTTATTCTCTGTAATAGATATTTACCTTACAAGTGTAGAGCGTTTTTACATCACGCAGGTGAATGTTGTGCAACGAGCGGAAGCGAGTTGCATAATTTACCTAAGTGATGTAAACACGCTCTTGCGTAACGTGTAACGTACACGATTTTACCTAACGCGCCATGTTAAACTTCCCTATCTCAAGAGTGACGTATACAACTTCTTTACTTCTCGAGTGATGTAAATTTGAAAAAAACTCACTCGGTGAGGTAATGAAACCCATTTAAATAACATTGAGTGCTTAACTTAAAAAATATACCTCTATGGAGCCAACGACGTTCAACGCTAGAAATCAGCTGTGCGCTTGAATTTTATTGTTATGTTTTGAAGAATTTTCCTAACCTAGCTTTTGTTTGTAAATGAACGTTACTGTTAGAAGATTGGGTGAAATGGATAATCCGCCGAAGGCATTCCACCATTGAGCAAGTGCATAGAATAGTGAATGTAATCAAGGAAGATCTTGAAAATAAACGTTTTTGTTCATCTGCTTTTTTGGACGTAGCCCAGGTGTTTGATAAAGTCTGGCACACAGGATTATTGTTCAAAATTAAAACTTTGCTGCCCCATACATACTATGGAGTGTTGAAATCGTATTTGTCCAAACGCTTTTTTCAAATTAAATATCAAGATATAGTTACAGATGTGCATGAAATTGAATCAGGTGTACCACAAGGCAGTGTTCTTGGACCTATTTTGTATATTTTGTTCACTTATGACCTTCCAAGTACTCAGGGTATTACGGTTGCAACATTTGCAGACGACACTGCTTTTTTATCATCAAATCAGGATCCTATTCTGGCATCATCAAACCTTCAGGCTGCATTAGACGATTTGTCTCAGTGGCTACAGAATTGGAAAATTAAAGTAAATGAAACAAAATCCGTTCAAGTTACATTTACTATGTCTACAAGAACTTGTCCCCCAGTAACATTGAATAATGTCATGCTTCCACAATCCAACGAAGTTAAGTACCTTGGTATGCATCTCGACAGACGGCTTACATGGCATTCACACATTTGGAACAAACGACTTCATTTAAATTTAAAAACAAACAAACTAAATTGGCTCATTGGTCGAAATTCAAAATTATCTGTTGAAAATAAATTACTTTTATACAAAATTATATTGAAACCTATTTGGACCTACGGCATCCAACTCTGGGGAACCACTTCCAACTCAAACATAGAAATAGTTCAAAGGTTTCAATCGAAAACACTGAGAAAAATTTTACAAGCACCTTGGTTTGTCACAAATAAAGTAATTCATCAAGATACAAAATTACCCTATGTTAAAGAAGAAATAAAGAAACGAAGTGAAAAATACCAAAGAAACCCATCCAAATTTCCTGGCAGTCAACCTCCTCGACAATAGTGAAGCTACATATAGGCTCAAAAGAGTTAATCCAATAGACCTTCCAAATCGTTTTTAGTTAAACTTTTTAAAAGTTTTTGTATGTTAGTGCACTTGATGGAGTGTAACTAACCCATGTTAAAATGGTTATTAAATTTACTTATTATTCTATTATAGAATAGATTGTAAATAAATACTTGTTAAAAAAAAAAAAAAATGGATAATGAAAAATATTGTTCGAAACCTCCTGTATATTTTCGGGTCAGGTAAAATACTATTACATCATTTCACAAAAATCAGAACAAATTCAGTATAGATCATAAATATAAGCAAATTACCTAACTGAAAGAGTCTAGTCCAGTCAATGAATGATCCAAAAGTAGGTGTAGAGTGCGTGAGTAGGTAACTAAGCGATTCCTTCAGAAACTTGTTCAGGGGGCTTAGGGTGTTAACATACCAAAAGTCCTGACTCCTAGGTGCTGAGCCAGGGGGTGGAGGGGGGAAAAAGGGGGGGGGAAAAGGTACGCATTTTAGGTTTTTTGATTATATCTCGAAAACTATCAACTTTTTGTATACTATAGTAAATTATAAAATTGAAGAAGATTAAATTTTCTACAAGAAAAGTATATAATGTGTTTATTTTGGTTCAACAGATTACGATTTATAACTTATTTAATTGATATCTTATTAAAATACTCCTTCCATAAGAAATACATGTAAATTAGTATGCGAAATGGGGCGAATCCTATCCGCCCAAAGGAAATATAACTGATATTCTGGAAATCTTGACAAAATTTCCAGTAATTTGACATTTTAATCATAAAAATTTTGTCAAAAATTAAAACGAGGGTGAGCGTTTAAAAATGGGATGATTTAAGGTTTTTTTTATATTTCCAATAAAAAAACACCAAAACTCGACATTTTGTTACCTCGCCCTCGCCTTAATTTTGGATCAATTTTAATGATTAAAGTGTCAAATTACTGGAAATTTTGTCAAGATTTCCAGAATATCATTTATATTTCCTTTGGGCGGATAGGATTCGCCCCATTTCGCATACTAATTTACATGTATTTCTTATGGAAGGAGATTTTAATAAGATATCAATTAAATAAGTTATAACTCGTAATCTGTTGAACCAAAATAAACACATTATATACTTTTCTTGTAGAAAATTTAATCTTCTTCAATTTTATAATTTACTATAGTATACAAAAAAATGATAGTTTTCGAGATATAATCAAAAACCCCAAAATGCGTACCTTTCTCCCCCCCCCTTTTTCCCCCCTCCACCCCCTGGCTCACCACCTAGGAGTCAGGACTTTTGGTATGTTAACACCCTAAGCCCCCTGAACAAGTTTCTGAAGGAATCGCTTAGTTACCTGCTCACGCACTCTACACCTCATTCCTTGACTGGACTAATCCTGGACATTAACACATGGTTTGTCAGTTCCATTTAAGTAATGTTAATTTATATTTACATTCGGGAGAGTGACATCATTTATTTATGTTTATGGTCCATACAGTCTCTGTTCTAATATTCGTACAGTATTTAATATGTTTGAACCAGCTGTGTGGAATTGTGAAATTCATGACAGTTTGTTCTGCTTGTTTATATTTTTAAACTTTGTAGGCGTGTTCTTTGTTACCATGGATACCATCAATCAATATTTACTTTTACATCTCTCACCTCAGATTTTTTAAAGCCCACGGGGCAGAGCCCTAGGTCAATATCGAAGCGGGAATAGTTCTATCTGTATCCTCGGAGCTGTAGCTTCATTTGTGTGCAATTTGAGCCCAGTCGGTTCAGTAGCTTTTGCGATAAGCTCATACAAACACACAGCCAGACAGACAGACACCATCTCTTCTTTATAATAGTATATAGATAGATAGAATAGAGTAGATGGATGATAATGCTCCTCAACATGTAATAAAGATAGATACTAATCGGCATCAGAAACAAGTGATACAACATGCAACACAACAACAGCAGTAGACGTGCAGTTCCTCCAAAATAATCAGGCTACATAATTCTATTTTTCACCACACTACGATGTTTTTACCCGTTTTACATTAATTGGAGACTGAAAGCTGAACAGGGCCGGAATGCCCCAATGCCATCGTCATTTGGTGGCCGAGCAGATTTTTACTGCCCTAGGGCCGTAAAATCAGCTGTTCACATATTTACTTAAAATATTTCGTACCATATGGGCCGAAAGGGTTTTGCAGCTCTCTTGACTTTGTCTCAAACTTTCAAAAATTATCTCGAGCCGGTAAAACCTTATTTTTGGCCCTAAAGAATGTCACATACTGCATTAATTTTTCAATGTAACTCTACACAGTAAATGATTGTCCGTTAAGAACCGTACCTGAGGACGGCATGTACTTGTCTCCAAAACCCATATGAACCTTTAACTTTGAAAGGACAATTTTTTCTGAAAAATCATTTCAGCTTTGGTTATTTTAATTATTATTTTTGCTCAGGAATTTACCTGTTGACTGCAGTTTTTATTCTTCAAGATGGCTTGCAAACTATACTATACACTTAACTAACTGATACCATAGAATAAATAAACATCGGATGTTTTGTTTATTACATGCTGATACACATAGTTGTTGTCATTGATTACAATAATTTATTATAACTGCAATAATGAACAAAATTAAGCAGCTGATTATTCTCTAACTTACACTGTGAACTCTTACATGAAATTTTTAGGAAAGTGTTTGATCACAAAATAGTATATGGAAAAATATATGTATGGGAATAATTTTTGCTATGCCAACTTATTTTTCTAACTATAGTTTAACTTTTCATGCATAATTGTTTTACGATTATTTTTTTAACGTATTATCTTGTCCACTGCCTCGGTAGCTGAGTGGGTATAGAGGTCACCTGAAAAAGTCGATAGTTCAAAACTGGACCCAGATGTCCCTGATCATTGAACTTTAAATAAATTTATCCTGGCTAATGAAACAGCTGATCTTAGTCCAAAAGAAAGCTACTCAGATCATCTCACACCATTGTGCACGCATCCCTCACTATGGCTACCCCATCCAAGTCCACAATAGAAAAAAAAGGCCAAGCTGTCTGTTGAGGATTTTATATGGTAGGCCTATTGTTTTGTGCTATATAATCAAATATCTTTTTAATGTATCTTTTAATATCAGCTGCTTGTGATTATTATGTTGTTGTTCTAATATGTTCACAGTTTATGTAGGCCTATTTTATTCCCTCGTTTCATCACTGTCAATGGCTCTAGTTAAGGAAATTTTTCATGAAAGGTAAGAGCTAAGAGTTTATTCTGAATGATGTTCTTTTATGCAATAATGCTGAAATCCAATCTTATTTCATTACCGTAACAACTAGAAATTAGAAACCAACTTGCCTGTTTGAATACTTCCAAATGGAAAACATGGATGTATTTCCAAAAAATCAGGACACAGATGAAAGATTCCATGCAAGGAAATACTGAAATTGATTGAAACTACAAAAGTAGAGGTTAGATTTTATTTAAAACAATATACAACTATAACTCTTCTAGTTGATATATCTTAACTTAGTCATATTACAACAAAGACTCCTCTTGCAAACCCACTTTACACATAGCCACCTTTGATTCAACCCAGTCAATTGAAATTGTTTGAGAGACTGCAAAACACTTACTTATGTCAATAGAAATATCCTTTAATACAATTGTGGCATTGTACATGTATTCTTTGAAGTCCGTAGAATACTCCTTAATGTCGTATTGAATGTCTTCAAAAGCTCTTTTATAGCAAGTGTATTGCTTCCAAATCGCTTGTCCAGGACAATCATTGAGTTCGTCAAGCACCTCCACGATGGAATCTGCCATTTCGTCGGCGAGTTCGTAACCATAGAATGCCAGAAACGTAATGTTTGCAATGTCTGTTGTGATGTTGAAACAAGAAGGGACATCTTTTACTTCTTCTCCCAAGTCACAGTGGTGTATGAAATGGTGGTTTTGTTTGTACAGTGTTGCCAACCTCAGGACATCAGGGTGGGTAGCCATTGTGATCAGCTGTTTCAAACTAGAAGCCATTCCCTTCACATCTTCCACTGTATCGCCCACTTGCTTGGCCGAAGCGATCAGAAGACGTTCAAGGAAAGACGGTTGAAAAGTTTCAATCTCCTCAGATGCCTATTAACCATAATATCAGAATGAGATGATAAAGAGGTACACATTCATTTTTAATAAGGTTGTTTTTTCAAGATTTTTACTACAGAGTAAAATAGGTGAGATAAAGAAGAAATATTTTGTCACACTTGATGTCATTGAATATGATTAAATAAAATCGTTGTCTAAAAATATGAGAAAATGGAATCATAGTTGTTCAAGAAAATGATCAGCTGACTGCCTCGTTAAATTGGTAAATTACTTACTTTAGTTATTTGAAGTAGTTGTCAGAAAATGCATGATCTTAAAAGAATAATAACTTTCAAATAAGATAAGTTTTGCTACAAAATGTAGCTGTGTATGTATGCTGGCTCCTTGTCCTTTTCCATAAGTAACCCTAGTAAATTTCTAAAGTAATTATTTTCTGAAAACATGCTATTTGATATGCCTGATCTAGTGATCTGCCTATGAATCTAACTTTATTATAGTCAATCATATACATGGTTGGTTGGAATGTACGAGTATGTATAAAAACCCATTCAAATGCACACATAATTTATTGTAATACTCTAATATGAGTATTTTACCAAGGATCTCATTTCTGTTTAAACGATCGCACTTTGGTTATTGGCACAAACCCGTCTCCTGGTATTTGCCTTATGTTGGCATAAGGTATATCTGCATACTTTGATTTTCTAATTTTATGATGTAGGCTCAAGCGTAAACAAATTCTTGATTTTATTGCAAATATTAAATAAGACAATTCATTAGAGGATTCCATTTTTTTACAGAACTTGTTACACTGTAACAAAGTAAATGCTTATTGATTATTTTAATATATATATATATATATATAAAATACAATGTATGTATGTTTGTATGTTTGTTTGTTTGTTTGTCCTTTATGGACTCTGAAACCGCTCGACAGACTGCAATGAAACTTTCAGGCATTGTTAAGCATTATTCAAGGATGGTTTGTGTGAGGTTTGGTTCAGATCCGTCAAAAGGGCTCCGCCCCAGTGGCTCTGGAGTTTCCCATGTTAACCTTATGAGTACTCATATTTGAATGGAATTAAAGAATCTTAACAGCTGGTTCAACTAAACAATTTGATTCTGTGATGTTCAATAACAATAAAAAGTTAATAAGTTTACCAACAGGGTGCAGCACTATTATTTCTTTTACATTTATGACAACAGCTCATTTGCAACTAAAAGGTGAGTGAGCGTAGCGAACGAACTTCAACCTGGAGGCGAGTTAGCGTAGCAAACGAGCTAACCTGAACGCAAGTGAGCGCAGCGAACGAGCTCCAACCTAAAGGTGAGTGAGCGTAGCGATCGAACTTCAACCAGGACGTGATTGAGCCATGCGAAAGAGCTCATCTTGAAAATAAACGAGCATTTGACATAAAACCACATTAGGACAGGACGACGTCTGTCGGGCCAGCTAGTACCATTATAAAATTGAGGTGGTGTCTGTTTGTCTGTGCGGTTGCCATGGCCATTGACTTTATATCCATATGGGCCGAAAGGGTTTTGCAGCTTAACGTTTTTTGTGTAATAATAAGGCAAAAATTAAGGGTTCCCCGACTAACTTTGCCTTATTTTTACACTAAAAATGTTATATTTCAGTTATCTTTAGTCCGATCTTTTTGATCTTGGTATCGTTTGATATGAAATTAAAAATGCTAAAGAAAAGTATTCCTGACATTTTTTTTATAGAATTAGCCGTTTTTGAGTTATTTAAGCTAGAAAAATTCAAACGGCCGCCATTTTGAAATTTACAATCGGAACAACTTTATTATTGTTTCTATTATAGGTCTTGTGTATGTTAACATTTTTACCAAATTTAATAATCATTGAATAAAAAATTCACAGATAATAATATTTTTGTATAAAAAACAAAATGGCGGATATCTGGGTTAATATGCATTTCCGGTCATACCTTCCCATAAACTTTTTTCTTCCTTTAGTATGGGGATTCATTTCCCAAAGTCCTGAAACGTTTTTTATGGACACCCTGTATAGTAACCAGGCCATATGTAACTTAATATGTAACTTAATTGGAACTACCACGTCAATAACAAATACTGTCCCAAGGTTATGCACGCCTTGCAAAGATTTTCCCTTTGATCAATAAGAAATCTACTCTAAAGCCAGCTTGTAGGCCTACAGTTCTAATCTACAAATCAATAATTATTCGGCCTTTGACTACAAATGCATCTCTTATCTGGGAATTACCTATATAAAAAAACAAACTCTTCAACATTCAAGTGATCCAAAACAAAATTCTAAGAATAGTGGTGAATGCTCCCTGGTTTGTTAGAAACAGGCATATACATCAAGAGCTAGGAGTGGAGTCTATCTCGGCCTTTATTGAAAAAACCACCTCCAACTTTCTGAAGTCTTTACAATGTTAGTGGTGCACTAGCTTTTAATCTTTGTGAAGCAACTGAGAACAGGAGGCTACGTCGAAGGGTTCCTCAAGATCTTTTGGATGAATGAAGCCTAAAGAAGATTGAATATGTTTATCTAAATTGATTATGTTACAGGGTGTCTTAGGTCTGGGTAAACCCACGATGTTATTATTGTTAATTTCTTGTTCTTATTATGTTAACACTTCTATAAATAATGTCCTCATTGAACCAGAAATAAATGCTGTAAAAAAGGAATGTCATAGGCCTATTCACTTCCCTGAATTCCTCTCGGGCTATGCCCCTTGGATTTCCAAACTTTTGAGGTGAGGTTTTCAAAAAATATTAATTGGTCTCCATGGTAGCATAAGAAAATTCACAACCTTTGTTTACCTTTGTGTTGACATTTTAATGTAAACAATCAGAACTGTTGAATGCTTAGTTGACAATTTCAGACAGCTGATCCAAACAAACTAAATAATAGTATATTTCGTACTTAGGGCCGAAAATGAGGTTTTGCTGGCTCGGGACAGTTTTTAAGTTCAAGACGAAGTCGAGAACTTAAAAAGATCGAGAGCTGCAAAACCATTTCGGTCCGTGGTACGAACGCTATTTTTCACCACACTATACCCTATTACGACTATTCACCACAATAATAATGTACACTGATAGTCAACACAACTACAACTTTAAGGTTATGTGAAGAAATAATTTGACGAATCAGCAAAAATAATAATAAACAGAATAGAACAAATCAATTAAAAATATGGTGGTTAGTTAAACCAATTGATAAACCTTTTGGGAAATGGACAATCTATGATAAATATATTGACGTATTGGTAATTTAAACTTTATATTGTACTTTGTATACTGGTCAACGGATTTGTAATACAATTAATTATTGTACAGTTTCGACTTGTCTTATCTCATTAGTGAAATGAGTGTAAATTAATTTTATAAAAGAGTATAAACTTTTCTTACCAAAGAGGCAGCAATAAAACATAGTACAAAAGTTAGCTTGAGCATTGTAAATCACCAATGAAATACACAAAGGACTAAAGTTGACATTGACTGTTTAGTTTCATTATTCTCTTAATATCAGCACTCAAAGAGCACTTGGGTTTGACAGCTTTTTAGATAAGAGTAAAGTTAAGAATATGAGATTTATATTGATCTCAATTACCTAAATAATGTTTAAAAACCACCTATTTTTGGGTCAGTATCTAAGATCATTGATATATAATTATTATGTAATGGAGCTAAAAAAACAAAAGATTGTGTTAAAGTGAAATTGAATTTCATAACTTAATGTAATCAGTTATGGCAAGACTTCGGCCCATAACTGAACCGAAGTGAACACTTGACCCTTGTGGAACACCTGCATTGACTCATCGAATAGATGATTTAGAAGAACATATTTTAACAGAGAAGGTCCTGTGACAAAGAAACGATTTTACAATATCGGTTAAATACTTTGGAAATCCACAATGAATAAATTTAAACACAAGACCGTCATGCCATACTTATCGAATGCCTGAGATATGTCGAGAAATGTCACTACTTTGTGCTGTTCCCTCTCAAACCCTTTGATTTTTCATTTACTGTATACGTAAGATTTTTTATAGGCGAATGTTTCGGCCAAAATACAAATTGATGAGCAGGAATTATATTTGCAGCATCTATGAAACAGATGATTTCAAGATGATTTTTTCAAAGACTTTAGAAAGTGTAGACAGTAAGCTGATTGGACGGTAACTTGATGGAAAAGACTTTGGTTGATTGGGTTTATGAATAAATGATATTTCTACAGGCTTTCTATAAAAGGGAAATAAGATTTAGACAAACATATGCATTAATAATTTATGTGAAATATGAAAAGCCCTTTGTGAGATTTCGCAAAATAATAAGCTATTAGGAATAAGGTCATGGCCAGGTGATTGACGGAGTGAAAGTTTTTAAATTACTGCCAGATACTGCTTTCAGATTTTTTTTTTAAATCAGAATTTATTTTACAATCTGTTCAAACAAATATGAGAACAATATAAGTAAAATGGGTTACATAAAAAATGGCAGGAAGCAAGCACCTGTTCATCAACAAGTCTTCCCAAAATTTGATCAATCATTTAAATATTTACAATCTGTAGCTTAGGTCCAGCACATGTACGACACTTTTTATAATCTGGTAATGCACTGACTATTGTCCAGCAGATTCTCAGCAAGACTGTTCGGATGATATTCTAATTTATCTTTATACTTTTTGCTAAGGTCTGTAATTTATCTTTCACTGATTTAATTTTGAAGTCATTCCTAATTGTAGTGTTGGATACGAACCAGGGTGCGCCAATAATTCTTCTCAGCGTCTTAGCCTGAAATCGTTCAAGAATTTCGATGTTGGATTTGCTCGAGGTCTCCCAAATTTAAATTCCGTATGTCCAAATTGGTTTGATCATAACTTTATAAAGTAAAATGTTGTTAGCCAATGATAATTTTGAGTTCACACCTAGTAGCCAATATAGTTTACGAATTTTTAATTCCATTTGCTGTCTCTTGCACCAGATATGAGATTTCCAATTTAATTTTTTGTCAAGAGTTAGACCTAAATATTTTACACTGTCTGCCCCCGTTAAAGCTACATTATTAATGGTTACTAGAGGAGTTTACTCTGTTCTCACTGTTCTCAGAGCAAAAACAATATGTTTGGACTTGTTTTGTTGACTTTTATCCTCCACTTTTTAAGCCAATATTGGAGCTCAGTCAAGGCAGCTTGCAGATTAATGGAAGCGACTTGAGGGCAATCTCAGATTGGAACGCAAACTTTATTGTTAGTTCAGCTGATAAAAATTGTCCATTCAAAGTCTCGTTTACCATCTCATCGTTACTTCTTTACGAATTATTAATTCTTTACGAAACTTCCATTAACCAGCAGCATTAGATTTTATAACACAGTCAATCTTCAGAAATTCAGAGACTCCGGCTAAAACCCAGATTGCCTCAAGATATTTTATTATAACCTTTTTTCATTTGTGTTTCATTGGCGGACAGCGCCTTTACAGTCTTACCCGCTAAAATAGTGACGATAAGTGCCTGAGGGGCTAGCCATAGTTCAGCTGACCTCTAACTATGTTAATGTAATTAATAATGCTATTTTGTTTCTTATATTATACCTAACCTGTATAGCAATGTAATGGTGATCGGTTAATAAATTGTAAAAAAACAAAAAAAAAACAAAAATGGTGTGAACACCGCCAAAAAGGTTCATTTTCAAAGATATTCCACCACACCTAAACCACGACCACCTTTAACTCCAGACCGCGGCCTTCGAAGTGGCCACACTGCAAGTAGGGTTGTAACAGCCTTTTTTGTTTGGAGGTGGCTAATAGTAATTTGTGTATTTTTTAAGAATACAAAAGCTTGTTTACTGGGCTATGAAAATATTGACTCCAATTTAATATACAAAAGTAGATTTTTAATTCAAACATTGTTTTGGTTTTCAATTCTATATTTTATTTTCAATCTTTTAATAAATATATAAATATATAAATTTAAATTTAAATGAATAGTACGCGAATTAATGAGCTGGTGTCACTTGTGTGCCATGTTATGTTATGGGACGTCTAGCGCTAGACAACACCACTTACCGGTACAACGTTTCCAATTCTACCAGGCCGCGGCCTGGAGTTAAATAAGAGGTGGCCGTGCCTAAACCGATTATAGCTAAAAATTCAAAATGCAAAACATATAGACATAGATAAAACATATGCTTTATCTATGATATAGACAAACCAGAAAATGGAAGAAAACTGATGACTCTCCGATCGAACGATAGTGGTGAAAAGAAAGACACCCGAAAGTAAGTAATATATTATACTCCCATGATAAAGAATACTCCATTAATATAGTAAATTTTTCATCCTTAGCTGAAGTAAATTTTATTGTTAGTTCTGTCCTGTGCATTGCAGGGCAGAGGTCACGTTTTGTTTACAATTTGTTTCTTGTGTTTTCAATCAAATCAGTGTACCGGACATAAACTATAGACACGAAAACGAGCTTAAAAATTTACAATGGAATGAGAAGTCTGTATACTTGTGTTGGTTAATCTACATTGTGTAAATCAACGATAAAAATAATAAACAAACATGCAAACAAAGAGCATGATGTTATTCCATGGTGAAAGGAATAACAGTATAGAACCAATATCAAAATGCATAAGGTAAATTTCAGGGATAATGTGCGAATAACCATCTATGTCTTTGAGTTTTTAACTACAACAGATCAGAAGAAAATAGTTAATTGTACCATAAACTATTGTACATTACAATTTTCAGACTATTTGAACATTGTGTATAGTAGCCAACAAAATAAAGAGAAGAAATTGATAAGGCTGTGACATACAGAATAAAGTCGTCTGCTGCTCTTGTTGTGAAGTGAATCAGAATCAGTCAGTGTTTGTTGTCTGCTTCTGTCACTTTGACGTGAAAATTGTGGTTTCGATTTTTGTGTTCAATGTGTTAATGTTTCCAAACTGTGGATTGTATAAGAGTCACACACTATCTTAACGGTTAACATACTTTTGAAACATATTATAATTAAGGTGAATCAGTTATTATAAGTACCTTCTTCAAGTTCCCTTAGTTAAGTAGGTAATTAGGTTGCTAGAACGATTTTCTTTGTGTTTGTATTACAAAGATAATCATTTTCCCTGTTATGATCGTATTTATGTAGCATAGTTTGAATCAAAATTATATCGGGACAACATTGTTTTACTGAACATTTCTTGATTTAGATCAGACTCTACAATATATTGTGAGATTATTGTAAATGTCAATGTCAATGACCTTTTGACACAAAAACAGCTGATGGAGTGATGAAGCCATTAGAAATGGCGCAGTAGCTCAAAACGAATTGGTAGACAAAGTAAAATGCAATTCTAAGCAATTATGACCTTGAAATTGTCCTTGTGCAATCTCAAACCTTGCACATTGATTGTTTATTTTAGGCTCTTTGTTTGAATACTGAATCCAACTGAAATATTTTGTTATTTTCAGATCTATTTAGCAGGTTAGTGACCAGTACTTTTTTAGGCCTACCTAATGTTAAAATCAAGGTTTAAACAGCTCTTCAAGAGAACTGGAGGTAACGCAGACCATTATTCTTTAGGTGGTGGGTAAATTAACATGGAAAGAATGGTATTGGGTCCCAGTTAACTACTTCATAGTTCTGTAGTCATAATTAAAAAGCTAAATAGAAAAATCAAGTAAATTTGACCTATTCAAATTACAATTTGCACCTATTCCTTCCCTTGCGTTTTACGGATGCACTTTACTTTTTTGTCCTACACTCACTCGAATGAAAATATCGATCAATATATCGATTGTTTGATAAGTTTTATTATTTGGCTAGTTAGGTAAGGTTAACCTAACCTAACTAACCAAACGATATATCGAATGAAACAATTGAATAATCAATATTTTCATTCAAATGAGTGTAGGGCGTAAAGTAAAGTTTTATTATTTGGCTAGTTAGGTAAGGTTAACCTAACCTAACTAACCAAACGATATATCGAATGAAACAATTGAATAATCAATATTTTCATTCAAATGAGTGTAGGGCGTAAAGTAAAGTGCAGTTCTACAAAACTGTAATTAACAACACATTGCTGAAGGAATTCAATTTATTTAATTTTATGTTCATTGAAGTATGGCTTCAACAATCCAACCACCCAGCACTAATAATATATTAATACTTTTCCTTTTTTCATCCCCAGTTATTAAATGAAATTACCCTAAACTTAATTGCTTTTGTAGGCTCAAGAATGTATTCAAAGGAGCCAGTCGAGGGTGAAAATGAAACAACTGCAAATGAGATGCCAAGGAAAAACACACCATCACGCCCGGAACAATCACAACAACCTTACACTGTCTTGTCACTGATCACGAGTGTGTTATTCCTGATCAGCTCCGCACTCATCGTTTTTGCTGCTTTCAGAAACACCCTTACCTGGTAATATATTTTCGTCATACTGCAGCAAAAACAGCTGTTTTAATGCTTGACTTGTGGGTAAAGGCAAGGCCCCACTAGAAAAAACAGGCCATGCTGCAGCGCGAGCAGTGCAACACTACGTCACAGTGGTGGATAGTTGTACCATAGACTAAACAACACAAGTAGACTTGTCATCCCATTGTAAATTTTGATGCACGTTTTTCGTGTCCAGTTCATGTACGGTGACACTGGACGCTAGTGTCAAAAAAATTTTGTTTCTATTATTTTAGGGTTAATTTTTTGATTTGTGCTTTACTGTTTGGTTATATAACTAGGAGAAAAGTTATTGTTTATGATTAGATCGTATTATTTGGTTAAACGAGGTTTTAAATGACTGTAATAACGGGAAACAAATTGTAAAAAAAACACGACCTCTACATAAACCGTACAGAACTAACAATAAAATTGTCTTCAGCTGTTCCATAAGGATGAGAAATCTACTTTGGGGGAGTATGTTTTATCTATGGTTGATTAAACTCTTACCATTACAATCTTACAAACAGCCAGCTTGTTTATTTACCAAAAACATATGGGAATGGTGATGGCAATGAATTTATCAATGAAATCTATCCACTAGTGTGACGTCATGGATCCTGCAGCATGGCCTGCTTTTTTCTAGTGGGGCCTTTGGTAAAGGTAGCATTTTACTCTTTAGATGGTTAAAAGTGTTTGTGGCCCCTTCACCAAAGTTCAGCTGTTGTCAAATCAGTTGTAATTTTTATTGTAAACAAAGGTGTGTATCGAAAGTATGTATCTATTGTTTAATTGATTGTATCTTAATATAAATAGTTTGACATATTGATAGTTTTTTCCCTAGGACGCTAGGCACGAGCCCGGGATTGTTTTGCACATTACTTCAGGCTAGACCTAGTGGTTGCGGCACTATCACCATAGGCAAAAAGAATTAATTATAGACCGTCAGCTGTGCTGCGGTTACCATAGCTTCTGGCGCACACCGCTTGGAGCGCCATGTATTTACGGCGTACGCGCTACGTAAACTACAGCGGTGTGCGCCGGAACCTATGGTAACCATGGTAACCGCAGCACGGCTGACAGTCTATATTTAATTCTTTTTGTCTATGCTATCACGGAGATAAAACTCATACGTGATTTGGTGGGATTTGAACCCGGACCTCAGAGATTGAAGTCTCTCAAGTAAAACTTGAGTTTGGGTAAAAAAAAAGTCACTTTAACTAACTTAGTGATGAAAGATGAAATATAACATTTTTTCCTAGCATATGTAAAATATAAACATAATAGTCATATTTAGTTTTGTATTTTTTCATTTTTGAGTTTATTGTGCAAGATAAGACATTTTGCTTGTAAAAGCAAGCAATGGTGCTGTCATCAAAGCCAAACCAAAACCTACAAATCTTTGAAGGATTTTGAACAAATTGTAGGGACATAAAACCCCTGAATTTTACTAAAATACTGTGTTTCTAATACAGTTGTGTATTCAAGTTTCCCATTTTTATTCCTCCTATTACCAAACTTATTGTACTTAATTTTTGGATCCTTTTGTTTCATTTAGGTACTGTATTCTATAGGCTTTTGAATAATTATCATATCCATTGTAGGCCTAATTACTTTTTGTGAAATAGGCTTTAGTTGGATAATTAATTAACAAGTGTGAAAGATGTGTCAATGTGTGTTTCATTTAATCTGTTTATTGTCAAAATAGAAAGTTTCTATTTACTGGAATATCAATTTTTTTCATACTTTTTTGTTATTTTAAATAAAAGTGAAATTTGAGAGATTTTTTTCTGTTTGGTAAACAAATGTTTGTACTTAATTGATATTTTTTAGCTTTGTTATCTAAGACTTATTTATAGGTCTTGATAATAGTGATAACTTTCTGTTCATTATGTAAATTTCCTTATCACCATCACCATTGATAAATGTGGTTTGTATGTGTTTTTAATGATGGCCATTGTAATAACCTTTTCACAGTTAGTAAAAAAATACTATCAAAATATTATATACAAACTTGTAAAGATAGATGGTTACCTTATATTTTGTAATGTCCTATTTTTGAGGGCTTGAGGTCAAATTGTCTTAGAACAACAGTTTGGTGAGTTTAAATCAGAATACTTGTGATTCCAGGCATTTGCAGCGTTTTTGGGGTGCTTCTGGAGATTTTTGGCAGGCTGGATGGGATCGGATATTGGACACGGTAGGCGAGAATCCTGTGACTTTCTGGGTTTATGGTAAGTAACTTTTGACTGTTTTAAATACGTAATTTAATCTACTTAATTTTTCAGAAATTCAAAATTTTGGATTGGTTCTTAGGATTAGGTTAAAGTGAAGTTTGAACAACAACATCAATGGCATTGGTTTGTATCCTAATATGCTACTACCTTTTATCTTATTGTTTTCTTTTGTCTTATTTGTTTGTTTGTTTTTATAAAGAGGCTGTAGTAAAAAACATGTGTCTTCAATTCTTTATTATTGTTTTGTTGTGTTTGTAAACAAGTCCATTATAATTCAATGTAGTATTAGTATTGTTCAAGTTATTAAAAACCTTTCTAAAGGTAATAAAAGTTCTTTTCATTCATTCTTACTCTCATTACAGAGGCCCACCTTTTGATGTTCAAAACCATTCCATGCAAATCTCTGAAGTCCATGTTGATGGGATATTACTAGAAAAATGACAAATACTTTCACATAACCTTATAGTGCATAACCAGTACTATGTATCAAATTTGAAAGGAGAAGATAGGTAAACAAATATTCTATTTGAGCGAGCCAGTTGTGACTGTTGAAGGCTGGTCACTAACGATCAATGTCTAAACATAAGAACAGCCCTAGGCTACTGGCTACTGTGTATGGCATTGTTGAACAGTTTGATGTTTCCCCGTAGGTACACTCATCTGGACTGTGTCCGTTTACTGGTCCCTGGGCGCCATCTACACTGTGCTAGATGTCATCAACAAACCAGCGGCTTTGCGGAGATACAAGATACAGCCGGGAACCAACGAACCCGTGGAGACCAAGAAACTCATCAAGGTGGGCTCAGTAGTTTCAACAAGGCTTATTTATTGTAGCCTAATAAAACAATATGAAGGGGCGTTGTGTAAGCGTATCAATCAAACGATTGATTTGTTCTAGTTCAGTGTCCATGGAACTACCGTATAGTCTTTCAAATTTTAAGTGTTTCTACACTCAGTGTGCATGCAGGTGTAGTTGTAGTAGGTCAAATTCGGAATTTGTTGTTCCTTGTAATTTATTAAAATTTATTGTTACTTTGTATGCTTGAGCACTATTGAATATCTTCAAATAAAGGGGCGTAGAGCCATTTTTGCATCACTCAAATTGAGATTATTTATTGGCTGATGTGTATTGGTTGTATATGTTACTGTTGCTTTGTTTAAGGGAAATAATCATCAAACAAGCTTCTTAACTGTACATCTTTTGTTAGAATTAGAGGCATTTATAATTTTATTTACGAGCAGAACTATTTTTTTATTAGTAAACCTTTATTTGATTTTTATGTTATATATTTTTAGATTATCAGCAAGTTGGTTGGGTTAGGTGATGACAGTTTAATTTTACAATTAAAAATTATAAAATTAATTTTTTAAAGTTAATTTGATATAGGCCTAACAACAAAATTATAAAAATTAATAAAAATATTTTCTTAAATTGACGTGAGAGGGGTTCTCCCACAATCCCCCACTCCTTTGCAGAAAAGGTTCTCATAGGTTCTGGACCAGGAAAATGAGACGCTAGTGGGATGTCATGAGTTTGTGTTCCAGTGTCATTTAACACGTTCAGTACTGACTACATCAATTGATGTAGTCGCGCCACGAGCCCTTCTATTGACCTACATCAATTGATGTAGTTGTGCAACCCCCACTTCATTAGTTCAGTATGAGCTCAGCCATTGCCGAGGAACGTTAAAATCATTGCTAGCCTGTAGCTTAGAATGTGAGCTTTATTTTGGTGTAGGTTGGTACTAAAATTTCACGTTAAATCCCGTCTGACAATGCTTTTGTCTCGGTTTCGGGGATTTTCTCTCTTCAAGCCATATTGCCATATTACAAGGCCACTGACTACTGATCCAGGCAGTTCTGCTACCTTTGGGTGTTTTAGGGAACTACATCCAATCTCGGGGTAACGTAGTTCAATCACCGCTGCTCTTTTGTTATTGAAATACTTGAATGCCAATTGCGTTCGCTGTTACGGTGCCGCGCCTGGGCTTTGCCGCCTGCCACACTGAACGTGTTAAAATGTATCATTACTAAGCATTCTTCTGTTGTACTGCCTCACCCATAGCTTTGCTGGATATGTTGCAAGCACAGGCCAAGGACACAGGTCAAAAGAGGCCGCCAACCCCTGCAAGGTAGCCAGAAGACTAACATTATCCTGTGTTTGTTGTAGGTGATATGCCAGGTGTTGTTTAACCAGTTGGTGGTGGGGTTACCTGTAGCATACCTGAGCTACTACCTGATGATGTGGCGAGGTGGTCCTCCTCTCAGAGAGTTATCTACCCCTGCAAGGTAGCCAGAAGACTAACATTATCCTGTGTTTGTTGTAGGTGATATGCCAGGTGTTGTTTAACCAGTTGGTGGTGGGGTTACCTGTAGCATATCTGAGCTATTACCTGATGATGTGGCGAGGTGGTCCTCCTCTCAGAGAGTGGCCAACCCCTGCAAGGTAGCCAGAAGACTAACATTATCCTGTGTTTGTTGTAGGTGATATGCCAGGTGTTGTTTAACCAGTTGGTGGTGGGGTTACCTGTAGCATATCTGAGCTACTACCTGATGATGTGGCGAGGTGGTCCCCCTCTCAGAGAGTTACCTACCTTCCATTGGGTGTTGGCTGAACTGGCTCTGTTCATTATCATTGAAGAGATCAGCTTTTACTATTCTCACAGGTACATTTGTTACTTTGGATTCATTTTTTAAATCAAGAACATTGTTTCCCTTTTATTGTTTGATAGATTTTATTGTACAGTACCTACTAAAAATGTTTCACATTAATATTGCTACCCTTGTTCTATATCATCTTTTTTTGAGGGGTGATTGTAAGCTGTGATGAAAATGATTCAATTAGGATTGTAAAACATATACAAACAAATGTGTTATTGTTTTTTTTTTTTTTTTTTTTTTTTTTACTTAATAAAACTATCATTGGACAATTTGCTTCACTGGTGCCAAAGAAAGTGTCAATAGCTTGTGGTCAACACTATCTACTATCTATTACTATACTAGGTGTTGAGAACTCATTCATTAACAGTATTTTGTGGTGTATAAGTATAACAGCAGGAGCAGACTTACCTAACTGTCAAATATAGTAGAAAATACACAAATAAATACACCAATTTGAACAAACAGTGTTTTGTTGTACATTTTACAATAATGCCATAACATATTATTTTGGGGATGAAAGAAAGTTACAGATGTACCGGGCATAGGGCTTAACATTAACTCTACAGTATAAGTTTTTTCCGTTTAGTGGATATTCATGAAAAAGAGTGGTAAATGTTTTTTGTTAAACTTTTATTTACTTTGTGGACACATTATTTTAAGATATATAACTATCATCGGGCAGGTTGCTTCACTGGCGCCACCTCTACAAGCACATACACAAGCGCCACCACGAGTGGACCGCACCAGTGGCTGTCACTGCCATCTACTGTCACCCGGTGGAGCATGTGTTTAGCAACCTGCTGCCTCCCTTCTTGGGCGTGTTCATCGCAGGAGCACACGTAGCCACTGCCAACCTCTGGTTTGCCCTGGCCATCATCAACACACTCAACGCCCACTCCGGCTATCACTGGCCCTTCTTCCCGTCGCCCGAGGCACACGATTTCCACCATCTTAAGTGAGTTGTAAAAGAATATTAGAATGAAATATTAGAATATTTATCCGTTGATGTTGTATATCCCATCAAAAATGCGTAATACCCTATATTCACAGAAGTTTCTGTCACAGCGCAGTTGAAAAAATAACGGTATCTATATTGGCATGTATACACTGTAAATAAAAGGATAATACTAGACTATGGGCGCTAACAGGGCTTACTGCAATATATATTCTGTTAACCGAATTCGGGTTAACCGAAACGGTTCCGTAAAATAATACAGGGCTAAAGCTAAAAAATATAAGTAGGCTAGGCCTAATACGTAATGTAAAATGCTTTAGTAACTTCAGTTGTTTAGTTTAAGTTTAGTTCAAGTAAAATGGAGCATCAGTGTCAACAACATGTACATCGAATGATGCTTCCATTTGAACCTCCCGTACACCCCTACAAGCCAAGTCTGCTTTCAGTGCTGCAGTATCCAATGACCCTTGCTCAGAGATCATTGGTTCTCGAACACAGTTTCCCCATGCTAGCTCCATCAAACTTCCAAAAGTACCCCTTACCTCATTATGCCTTCTTATTATCAACCTACCTGTGCGACAGTTAAGGACATGTTATAATAATTATATTTTATTATCAAATTAAGTTTTAAAAAATCCGTTTCGGGTGTCCAGCTTACATTTAGTTATCTGTAGAGTTGAATAACAAACATGGCATGTACTAAACAAAGTTTATCCAACAACAGGTTCCCCAAAATGTTAAATCAATTCAAACATAATAAAACTACCACCTAAGATAGCAAGAAAAGAAAATCTAAAGCCAATAGCCTAGTATAAAAAAGAATTCAACAAAATTTACTAGGTAAGCTTTTGTAGTAAACAAGTTATCTCCAACAGTGGGAGGCCACCTAACTTAATATTTCTTTTTTACTAGTAAATGATTTTGAGTGCCATAATCTAGAAAGTGTAGGCCAATTTAATTTAAACCCAGGGTCTGCAGTAAAAAGGCTTCCCTAATGGGAAATAGCTAAGCAAACTCAAAACTAAACAAATATAAATCAGCTCTGGGCATTTAAAAATAGTTCATAACTTCACAAAGTTCAGGTACTCAAATCACTGGGTAAAACATCCCTAGCTGACCGTTTCGTTTGTGGTGGTCCGTCATGGTGCGGTGTAGAGGGCAGACCGGACAGGACTTTGTTGCTGGAGGGCCTCGGTAGTATGTTACCATGTTTTTCAATGGCTGGACTCCAAAAGTGGTGACTCTTGTGTTTTAGTTGTCCATAATTAACATTTTAATTAACTTAAGAAAGAAACTACTTGCATTTAATAACATTTTAATACACATTTCAGGGTTTGTACCCGATTTTTGAAAATTTTCTTTGAAGGTCAAAGGGTTCCACGTTGTCATCATTATCATCCGCTAAAAATCGGTTAGGATTGGTTGGATTAGGTTTGGTTTGGTTAGGTTAGGTTACTATTCAAAACCCAAATCTTTTTGCCGGAAACATAAAATGACTGACTAAACTAACCTAACCTCCGAATACTTGCTTTCCGGCAAAACAATCTTGCATTTTCCTGTTACTACTAGGTTAGGTTAGGCACATGTAACAGTATTTAAAACCCAAATATTTTTGCCGGAAACCTAAAATAACTGACTAAACTAACCTAACCAAACCTAACCTAACCGATTTGAAGCGGCTGATAATAAATGACAACGCGGACCCCCCTTTGACCTTCAAGTAATCGTCTTCTCCCATTTGAGAATACTTGCTTTCTGGCAAAAAATTCTTGCATTTTCCATTTACTACTTACCAACAGGACAATCAACGGTAGCCTAATATGAGAAAAATTAAAGTTGACTCATACTTGGCTTAGAATTACCATTCATTCTTTTTAGATGGCACTCAGTAATGTGGCACTGCTTATGTTCCAAACTTGCTGAATGTGTGAGGGTCTACTGAATTAACATATTATTTTTGTTTCCTTTTCCATTCACGTTCTGTTAATCTCAACAGGTTTAATCAATGTTTCGGAGTGCTAGGCGTGTTGGATCGCTTGCACGGGACTGACACAGCATTCCGTAGCTCCCGGTCATACGCCCGACACACCACCATGCTGACACTAGTGCCTGCCAGAGAAGTCTACCCTGACGAACCTAAGTGGAAACAATAAGTAAGTCATAAGCAGAGTTTATAGCGACCAAAACATTCAAAACACTAAAATTTGGCATTGTTTCCTTCAGTTCTTTGGAATGATGGAGAAACAGATGTAACTAGCCTACTCCCTTAGAATTTGTTAAGTGTCAGGTACATTTTGTTCTTCTGGAGCATTAGTCTCTGAAAACTCTGTTGTAAACAAATAATTACAAATAATGCATAAATTTACAAATCACTTGCCTTTGCTGGATTTCTATAGTTTACAAAATTATGAAAATAGATTTAAAGCAAATTATATTCCAATACATGTAAGGTCAATTATCAATTATTTAAGATGGGGACGCCAGGTTTATGATCCATCCAACTTTAATTACCTAACCAAGACTTTGCCTAATATAAATTTCTCTAAAACTATACATGACTTAGTTGGAGAGGATTTTGGCAAACTGTTAGTTTTACTTTTGACAATAGGTACGGCGAGGTTATATCAGTTTTAGCATTTAGGTAACTAGTTGGCCAACTAAAATTGAACTGTATCAGTGTCACATGGTTTGATGTTTCAGAGCCTTGAATTGCTTGGGTTTAGTTCCAGATCAAAAGACGCTGAATTGTTTTGAATGTTGCATAAATTTAATTTGACTTGTGACATAAAGCATAAATACGAATTTTTAAATTCATCTGTCTACTATTTTTGTTTTAAAATAAAAATGTGAACATACTTACTTACTGCCGTGGCTCTTGGTACCCAAGGTGGTACTTTGCCTCGCCAACACACTGCCTCCAGATTTTTCTATCCATTGCCTCCTCTTCCCTTCTTCCCAGTCTTCTTAGGTCTTTTCTAACCTCGTCTCGCCATCTCAACTTGGGCCTTCCTGGTGGTCTTCTGCCCTCCGGATTGTTCAAAAGGACGTTCTTGACTAAGGAGTCGTCCTCTTTCCTTAGTAAATGGCCAGCCCATCTCATTCTCCTACCTCTCACCTCGGCCACTATGTCTGGTTCCATATATAATTGCCTCAACTCCGCATTGTGTTTTATCATCCTCCACTCTCCATCTTCAAAGGTTGGACCATATATTTTTCTCAATATTTTGTTCTCAAATACTATAAAATGTTTTTCTGTTTTTTTACTTAACACCCAATTTTCTGAGCCGTATAACAGAACTGGTCTTATAATGGTTTTATATATACGGAGTTTTGTTTTGTGTGATAGTATTCGAGAGCTTAATAGTTTGTGGGATGCTGATAAGCTTCTGTGTGCTGCATTTATTCTTTGTTGTATTTCCATATCTTCTTCATTATTATTCGTCAGCATTACTCCCAAATAAGTGAAGTTGTTTACTTTTTTAAAGTTGTACCCTTCTATTTCTATATTGTTGTCATTGTTTATTTGGGTTGCTCTCCCACACTCCATTATTTTGGTTTTCCCTTCATTTATTCTTGAACCAACTTTCTGTGTATGGTTTAGAAGTTCTGTGACCAGCACTTTCAACTTTTCTTTACTCTCCGCTATAATTGCAACATCATCTGTAAATGCAAGGACGTTTATTTTGGTCCCTATTGTAATTCCAGCTTCTGTTTGTCTTACTTCTTGTAGTGCTTCCTCTAAAGCTAAATTAAATAGCAATGGGGACAAACCATCCCCCTGTCTTACGCCTGTGCTTACATCAAACTTTTCTGAGATTTCGCCATTTATCTTAACTTTACACCTAGATTCTGATATGCTTGATTTTAATAAGGCTATTCCATACTTTTCCATAATCTTCCAGAGTCGTCTTCTACTAATCGAGTCATATGCTTTGGAGAAATCGATGAAAAGGCAGAGAAAGGTTTTATTGAATTCATAGTATTTGGCAATTGCCTCCTTCAGTATGAATATTTGATCGGTAATTGATCTACCTCTTGTGAAGACTGCTTTAAAAATGTGAACATAAACTTAAAAACAATGCTCAACTACTAGCGTAGGGGTTAGTGTGATTATACTCAATATCGGCACATCACAAAGTAAGCAGAGCAGACGGAAGAAAACCATTACTGCTACACAGTTACATAGTTCACCAACATTAAGACATGAATATTCAAATTCAAAGCGAAATTAAATTTATTTTCTCAAATTACCGTTTACAATACAAAGGTTTTTTTGTTTACCTCTTAAACAACTGAATCAACCTATATATACATATCTCAATACCTTTCTTGTATACATTATGAAACGTTTAATATGCTTAGGCTTAACATAGATATATATTCTTTGTATAACAAATTTTATCAAAAAGACAGAAAATTCAATAATCTTACAATGTTTATTAAAAATAAAATTATTTTAAACTGCATTTGAGAAAATTATGGGCCTCTACGGAAAATTCCTGATTAGAAGTTCCTAATCTTTTGTCAGCATTCCATATAACTTACCAATGCCATCTAGCATTGATTTCAATAACTAATAACAACAGCAAGCAAATACGAAAAGTGATTTTGCAAGTAAAATTGTAATGGCACTAGGTGAGGAGTATACTAACTCATAGCATCCAAATGGTTAATCATGATATGTTATTTATACAGTTTAACTTTAGTGCTCATGGAAAGATGATATTTTGTGTGTCATATATAGGGTTCATCATTCAATAAGTATCGGGACTGGTTCACTGTAGCCTCAAAAGAGTAGTGGAGAGGGGTCTGACCAGTTGGATTCGATAGAGTGGTCATTCACTGTTCAGGAGCAATTTGATTTAGTCATCTATGGGCATTCATTGAGACAGGAGGTTGATTTTTGCGCCGAGTGTTTTTTTCATTGTGTTGTCATGCCTAAATAGGGAGCATACCGTCGAGCAACGCTGTGAAGTCACTCGGAAAATCTGTGTTTAAGACCCTTGCTCTTAATTCAAACATTTTGTTTCTGAGTCATACTGGAACACCCAGGTAATAACGTTGTCCAGAAAATTTTGATCTTCCTGGATGCAGTCCCATGATTTCTTGCTAAATTTCCATCCTTGACCGTTTTGTTTATCACTCAGGACTTTAGGCACCATCTTCTCATCGCCAAAATCTCCATCATGATAGTGTGGACGGTTCCCAGTGAAAGAGCGGTCTTCTCACTGGCGTGGGCCATGGTTGGACACCTGTCAGAATCTGAAACTTCTTTCACTTCGACCACGTGAGCCTCGGTTTGAGTGTTCGTTGGGCTTAAACATTTGGCTTAACTCAAAAACTCTTGTGCGGCTTTAAGCATCATCACCATAAGCCTGTTTAATGATGGCAAGGGTCTCTGACGTGGATTTTCCGAGTTTAAAGCAAAACTTCACAGCGTTGCTCATCGGTACGCTACATGTTTGCATAACAGCACAATGAAAAAAAAAACACTACAAGCAAATATAAACCTACTGTCTCTACTAATGCCTGTAGACGACTAAACCAAAGTGCTCCTGTGTGGTAAAAGACCCCTCTCCACTGCTCTTTTGAGGCTACAGTGAAACAGTCCCAATACTTATTGAATGAAGAGTGTATTTATCCATAAAACATCTTTTATATTTGCAGGTAGTGAACGTTGTGTTACGGTGAACGTAACTCCGCAGTCAGGAAACGTTTGTTCACACAGCTTTCATTGTTTGCACTTGGGTATATTCAATAGCTATAAAATACCAATGGCATTATACTGCTTGGATGAAATAGTATCATGTATCAAAGCGTGTAAAATACTTTATATCGTTAGTGCATTTTCATAGCTAAAATTCAAAGAGTGGTTTTAGTATGTGTTTGATCTTTTAGTTTTAAATGTTTTTTTTTTAAATTCATTAGACAAAGTTTTAAAAAAAACAAGTGATTATTGACAATGTCTTTAAAAGGACCTAAATGTTTACGCTTTGACAACTAAATTTAGCTCAGCACCGAAGATTATTATAATGCTAATTAATTATTGAAGATAATTTTAATGTTTGTTTTGTAAACAAACATTGTTAATCTATACTTATAAATTTAACAATAAAATTAGAGTTATTATTTCATTATTGAAAGGTGATCGAGCTATGTGTACACAGTGTTTTTATCTGTTTGTATTATAACTGTGCAATATAATAATCATCATAGTCATTTGAATAAAATTACTGTTTTGTTTGAGTACAAATCTTGAGCAGTCATCAATTACAGGACAGCTCAAATATACCACTGACAATGAAGTTTCGAACTTTTTAGTCTCCTCAATTGAATTAGTGTGTTTCATGTAAATACTAGTAGACATTTTATATAATTTGCATTTATCAATGGTTACTGTATCTCTCTTCATTATACAAATCATGTACAGAGACTTTTTTTGTAGTTCTCAAAGAATGCAAGTAAGTAGTTTTAAATAGGTATATCACTATTAATTGTTTTCAATCTTGTTTCGACTAGGGAACACTTAATCCACAGCAAAGGTTAACCCAAAAAGCTACAATATTTATCTTTGTTACAGTTGTTTTAATAATTATAAGTGATTTGAAGTTCCTAAAAATTGTTTTTTTAAAACAGAAATGCTTAATTTGCATTAATGAAGTCTGATATTAAAGTCTTATTTTTATTTCTTGTTTCAAAGGCGAAGAAAACAATGAATAAAGACTTTATGGTAGTTAAACTGATGTGATTGATTAACGCACTGCTGTTTGTAGCAATCAGTGGCTGTGTATAGGAGTAGAATTACGATTATCATACCGGTGTGTTTATATTTTTGTTAATAAATTATCTATGTGTTTCTGATTTCTGTTATAAAATTTTGTTGTTTATCTCAGAGAAGAAAGGATGAAAGATACTTTTGTACAAGATGTTTTATGATGCAGTAAAATCATGTGGTTAATTCCATGTGTTTTAAACAATTGCGTAGAAGACATTTTGTTAGAATAGCAGGCTTACGTGAATGAGACAGAGTCCACTCCGGCATAAGAAAGTTTATACAAAATTAGAAGATTTCATTGTCATTGTCACTGTAAAATGAAATAATTTAATTCACTATTAAACGATACTAAGTTCAAAAAGATCTAATAGCAGAAATATCACGATTTTTCGTTGTACTGTAAAATTGGGTGGAATAAGGTAAAGCTAGTCAGGTTTGCCCATCTATATAAATAAAATTAGAGTTTTGTCTGTACATTGCTCAGAATCATAATCTTTTAGGGTATTTTTACGTTTTATACAAAGAAACCGAAAGTTTTCCCAATGTTTATCAAATATTCATCTATGAAGTAACGAACAGCTGTTTGAATCAAGATTATTTCTTCTAGCTGTCACTGGTATGTTTACATTGAATGTTGTTTACCAATACCGCAACCATTTCCGATCACGTTTTGAAAGCAAATCCAAACCAAGTAAAAACGTTTTTATTTACATAACGGATTTAATTAATCGCAAGTGCAATAATTTGTAGGGTATCCGTAAATGAAAATAGAGATTCTTTGTGTATAAAATTGTTCTTGAGTTTTGATAACCCATAAAAAGACCTTGAATCAGTGTTGTATATGGCTGGGAAACTTACATTTTTTAAATGAGCGTTTTCAGTCGAGACTCGGCACACGACCAACGCGCATCTACATGTCCATAGTAAAAATAAAAGTAGGCCTACCGTGTATTTATGTTTTATTCGTCATGTGTATAATAGTGTACAGTTCGTGTATGTGTTTCAAAAACTCCAAGACGCACCTAATGGGGAAGCTCAAGCCCTTATATTAGGACTGATTATGGCGATTTAATTTTGCCAAAATGCATCTCCTGTAATAGGATACATTAGGATTTACCGGCGGACACAGGTAATTTAACCTTTTATTGATTGTCATACCTATCCGGAACAACAAGAAACAACATAAAATGAAGTTATGAATAATAGTTTGGCCAGCATATCTGAAAATATGCAAACCAACTGCTGTTTTTTTTATATGAAGGTTTCAACTGAATAGTAAAAGATCCCCGTGCGTAGAACACACAGCTAGTTTTACAATAAAAACTTACAATATTTTAGCTATTTCTTATTCAATCTTTTTGAACTTGGTATCGTTTGATAGGGAATTAAAAATACTAAATAAAAGTGTTCTTGACATTTTTTCATAACATCAGCCATTTGTTTGTTATTTAAGTTTGAAAAATTAAAATTTTGAAATTTGTTGTTGAATCAAGATAATTTTTTTTTATAACACAGGTCTTTTCTACCTTAAAATACATACCAAGTATCATAAAGACCAGTTGAAAATTTTCATAAGATAAAAATGTTTGTTAAAAAAATACAAAATGGCGGATATCTGGTCAACTAAGCGATTTTTGAAACAATGTCATTCCTGATTTTCTCTTTATTTTGACCCAAGGAATCACTAGGTAAAATATGTATGTCCCCACCTTTTTTGAACACCCTTTATAGGTGGTGACTTTTTTTGTGTGGTTTAAATTGTTTCAAGTTAAATATCAAGAAATAGAATCATAAATATCAAAACACCCTCTACAAATACCAGAAAAAACTTACCTTTTTTATTTTAACCTGAACCATAAGGAGCCATATCTATTTGTCTAATTTAAAGGGAGTGTGTTTAATTTGTGGCCGAAGAGCTGGAGATTTTGCCAACTCAACGGGTTGAACCAACAAGTGATTACGTTATTAACCAAAATCTGTGATCTGATCCTTTCATCTCTGTGTTTTATTGACTGTTTGAGAAACAATTTTAAATTTCGGAGAGACTATATATTACTAATCGGTTTCTTTTTGAAATAATGAAGCTTTATTAGACAATTTAAGACAATGAGTAATACTCTTTCACTGTCTTTAATCCATGTTATATCTTCTTTTATAACATTTCTTCGATATAACATTATTGAATGTAATCGTAATGTCTTGGTGATATTTTTTAGGCTTTGGTGGTTGATGAAAAAAAATTTTCTGGATTGTTACAAATAAAATGTATATTCTTTAAAGGTGTAACTGGTTTGATGTATATTCTAAATATTTAACTAACAATACCTACTATTTTTTTCTTTGCCAAACATAATTCTTGGTTTTACTATCCTGTAATCTTTTGATGTACAGACCTGGCTGTTTTAAAATATCACTTTGATACAGTACAAAGCGTTTTATCAACAAGCTACGTTGGTTGATCCTCAATACATTTTGTAAATTAAAACTCACCCTTCCTGATAGATCTTCCTAACTCTCTATAATAGTTTATAATATGCATGTATTGAATATTATGGGCATTCAAGTAAAATAAATATGTTAATAAGTATTATTCTATTAAGCATTTATTATAATTTGCTTTTGTTACTTTAAGCAAAAAACAAACGCATACCCTCATGCTATGTGATGTTTTCTTTGGAAGATCAAATCTTTCCATTATATAGTACCTACTACCTGGTGACTTGTTATTGTCTATATATAAACGTATTAAATATTATTCAATATAAAAATGAATTGGTATTCATTATTTATTGTGGACAAGTAAAAGAGTTTGTTGTTGTATTTTTATAATCTAACAAATATACTTTTAGAATATTAAATATTCCTTTTTTTCCCCTTGTCATGTCCTTATAGCATAAAATAACTTAGCGGTTTCCAAACTATTAGTTGTGACCCAACAACGGGAAGAGATCAAACATTAAACATGGTTTTCTTAAAAAGTTATTAAAAAATGCTTTTTAAGTTTTTGCGGCTAAAAATTTACAATATTGCCGCAATAGGCAAAGGGCCTACCTAACCCATTCGTTTTAAATAGAATCTGTACGACGTTTAGATTATCATAATGAGACCATGAACACAGAGGAGCTGACTACAACGACACGGTGATTCTTAGAGGTAATCACATTAGTGCCACGATTGGATTATAATTAGAGTGAATGTCTTATAAATGCACAACACACTAAATATCCTAACAACTTGTAAACACATGAAACCTACCTCTAGCTTTTTTCAACCTGAGTTTTTGAAGTAAAATTAACAGGAAGGTTAAGTCAAATTGTTAAAAATTAGTTTTCTGTTGAACACTTCTGTTTGATCTATATTGATAATTAATAATAAATCCTTCATTTAGACCTTTCAAATCTTCTTAGGATAACACGATTTCCAAATTAGACAAATACTGCACATGAATAAAAAAAAGAAAATTTATAAAATGTGGATTGGTCATACTATTTTAGCAGCTTAATTGTTATTTTACTATCAGTAAATTTACTTGCAATGGTATTGTATATGCAACCACTTGAGCGTCGCTTTCGGGAAAACTACAAAGAAAAAACAATTTCAGTTTTGTAGAAAACACTTTATTTTCAATTAAGAGACCCAACTTGCAACGCTTACACAAAAGCCGTAAATAATATCCTCAAAATATAACAAACCAAAGACAAAATCTATATACATCAATTAATAATCTAGAAGGCACAAGATTGATAACATAACTTAGTGGTACCAGATATTTGTGTACTTGCTAACACAGTTATCAACAATCACAGAACACAAAAAAGCTTGGTGACAGGCAGAAAAGGTCTTATATTGACAAATTCCAGAACTAGAATAAAAATGATATGTATAATTTTGTTTATAGATAATACTAGCTGTGTACCCGTTCTACGCACGGGGATCTTATAATATTCAGTTGAAACCTTCTTATATAACGAACAGCAGTTGGTTTGCATATTTTAAGATATGCTGGCCAAACTATTATACATAGCTTCATTTTATGTTGTTTTTTGTTGTTCCGGATCGGTATGACAATCAATAAAAGGTTAAATTACCTCTGTGTCTGCCGGTCGATCCTATAACGGTAGGCTTACTTTTATTTTTACTATCTGATCTCGTTTGCATGGCTCAATCACGTCCTGGTTGAAGTTCGTTCGCTACGCTCACTCACCTGTATGTTGGAGCTCGTTCGCTGCGCTCACTTTCCTTCAGGTTAGCTCGTTCGCTACGCTCACTTGCCTTCAGGTTAGCTCGTTCGCTACGCTCACTCGCCTCCAGGTTGCAAATTAGCTGTTGTCATAAATGTAAAAGAAATAATAGTGCTAGTGCTGCACCCTGTTGGTAATCCTTGTAACTTTAATGCTATTGAACATCACAGAACAGAACCAACTTGTTTAATTGAAACAGCTGTTAAGATTCAATAATTTCATTTCTCATAAGGTTAACATGGGCTTCCAGAAATTCCACGTCAAAAATCGACAAAAACTTGATTTTCAAGGGTTTACTGTTAAATATCTAACTGTCTCATATTCGATGAAATACGTCTAAAACCATCTCATATATGTATAGTATTTGGAAAATAAGTTTCAGGCGGGACAGTGCTATAGTTATTGAGGAGTAGTTGTAATAAAGTGCGTATTTTAGCGTTACCAAGAGAATGACAGATAGACAGACAGACAGACAGACAGACAGACAGACAGAAATTGAGATAAGGTTTGATTCGGTTTCTCTGACCTATGAAATGTAAAAATAACCAAAAAGTTCATTATTCTAAGCAATGTACAGACAAAACTCTAATTTTATTTATATAGATTTTGTTCTTGATGAGATGTAAAATACATAGGTAGAACGAATATATGACTCAACTTCAAAGGCAAACTTAGTTACGGCAAAGATTACATATGCTACGCAAAATTTTGCGTAGCATATGTAATCTTTGGTTACGGTATTGTACACAAAATAGCACATCTAAATTTGATCAAATATTTAGGTTATACGCTTAACAACAATAGTTATCTGTGTAACTAGTGGGCGAAGTGGCACTTTGCTGCACAATAGAGAAATTTTTACTCACGAGCCGTAGGCGAGTGTGGAAAGTTTCTCGAGTGCAGCAAAGGCAGTTTACACTCGCGTTACACATTAAATTTTTCCTACAGTTACTTAAAAGCATATAAATAATTAGTCTTTGAAACACTGTACAACACATTTTTAGGTTAGGTTGAATCCAAACATTGAACAAAATGGGAAACGCTGCACCAGCTGATCGTAGTCGTAATATCTTTAAGTATTGCCAACTTATTTTTAAGCGTACAAGTAGGCTATTATGTGTCTAATAAAAGCACGCCGTTTTGTGTTGTTTGGTTGGAATACTGGTGTGTGGCAAAAAAGAACTGTGCGGCAAAATTAAGTAAATGCAGTAATTAGCAACTTTCTGTGCTATAATCAGTGCAAAGAAGGCCACTTTGTCGGGTGACTGTAGGAAAAATATTTTTGTGGTTTTAAATCATTAAAATGATGAACCAATATATTTCATTGACTGAAGAGTAAAATATGTTTATCTAAACAAATTATGGGATGAAATGTTTACTAGGCCTACTGGTTGTTGGTATTGCCATTAGTTACCTAGGATCAAAATTAATTATTGTCTTACACTTATCACTTGTCTATCATCAGAAATGGTACAGGAGGATTTTGATAACAGTAGCCAGACAATGAGTGTAAACAATCATGTTAAGATGTAACTTAGAAGAATTTTTTATGGTAGGCTACTGTATTTCTACATAAGAAGATGAATAGTTTCCATTTATCTTACACATTAAACTCCTAAGAATTTTCTTTCTTCATCGATCTCAATAAAATTTCCTCTAGTCTAGCCTCTAATTGAGTTTGGCCTGGGCGTTCCAGTATAATATTAAAACATTAAATTTGAACTAAGCTGTTAACAATGCTGCAAAAATGCCGCAAATGTTGTAGATGCTGTGTACAATGTGTGCAGGCAAATAATTATTCATTAGAACTAGACTAATTTACTTTATTCAAAACTACTGTGATAGCCTATATATTCATACTAAACGAATACTCCTTAAATAGTAAAACAAATAGTACCGTACTAATCATAGTACCTACTTTTAACATCAACATCGTATTGTCTTCAAATACTCTTTCTAATTACTTAATCAACTCTTTTAGACATATGTAAACTTTAAATAAAACTTCCATTTTATCGTTTGATTCTTAAAATCTCTATTGAACTACAAAAATAACTTTCAATCTTTTAAATGTTATCCTATATTTACAGTTAGCCTAATTGTACAGAAAATGGGGATTCCAATTAACAATAAAAGACACATTGGGCTAAATAAATCACATACATAAATAACACAATTAGAGCCATCCGCAATCCAAGATAGCCTAAACATGAATTGACACAGCCTATCCAGATCATCTGGTCATCGGCGACGCAGTGGTAATTAAGGTAATTAATTAATTAAGTGGTTTACAACATGCCATCATAATGGTTTGGATTAAACAATTTTAATTCATAAAATTTGAAATGTTAATAATAACAAGTAGGCCTACATTGAATAGTTTGAATAGTCTTGAACAATTCAACTTAAAATTACCATTAAATAGCAGGCCTATTGCGGCTAGGCCTATTTAATAATTGAAAAATTAATTAGAAAATTTCAACTTAACCCATTCAATCTGTGCATACAAAACATGGATTGACCTACACTGAGGTAAACCTTTGGCCTTTTAACCTAAGATTTAAAAAAAAGTAAAAAAAACAGCAAAAAAAGTAAAATAAGTTAATTAAAGCTAAGGTTTCTGAATTTTCACTCCCGCCAAAGATACAGGAGTAGGCCTGTTGCACAGATTACTAGATACCTATGTCAATAACATATATCATTTCGTCACTAATAAATTGTCCGTTTATGATGTGTTAAGTTCTCAATGTTTTGTATAAACAAAACTTAATGGTTATTTTAGACTACCGTCCTTAAAGGTACCTAACCTACCGAAATATAAAAAATCAAACTGAAACTCAAAGGTTAGGCTAATAATTTTTTTTATTGACGGCAAAGTTTGTTTAAAATAAAGGCCTACTAGATGAGAAGTAAGGTTTGCTAGACTCAATTTGCTTGACATTATTATAAGAAATGCTTCAAAATTACTTGTGAGTAGGCCTATTACACAAAAATAAAATCCAGGGAATAGCTATTTGGTAAAAAAAGGTGAAAACCCCTTGGTAGACTTAATATAAAACTAACTTAATAAGTATTGGATTTAAGAGTGGGAGAAATTTATTTTTATGATAGGGGAACTATTTCACCAAAATTAAACTTATCACAGCAATTAAAAACTTGTTTGGTCTGTAGGTAAATTTTCTACCGGACCAACATCACCAACCTCCTCATTTGGCTTCAAATAGATAAGTTAAGAAGACCATTAGTCGTTATACATGCCTTCAACAAGAAAATCCATTCTCCTGTAATGTCTTCTGTCCCAATATTCTCCTGCTCTTCTATAAAATATAAGTGCCCCAAAGATTGAACACCAAATCCCAAGAACAATCACTATGCCAATTATGATGTAATCCTCACCTGTGGTTGATGTTTGAATAATAGGATATTTTTCAAAATCGTCTACATCTTCGAGGTCTGTAACAACTACAGGTTTTCTAGGATGTGTTATCCTATGAGTAGTGTGTTCACTGTGTTCTTGATCATTAGTTTTAATTGGCGAATCACTTTTGTTCAAAGGTGTTTTTGTATCTACATTGACATTGGTTAATTCTTTAATAGGACTTGAAGTCCCTTCACTTGACTGATTAGCATTGATTGCTCCAAGTGGGTCAACCCCTTTTCGAGGAACAACTGATGAGCCTGGATCCTGAACGCCTTTCCTAGGTTTAGAGCCTTTGGAATGCGTAGCACTACTATCAGCAGCTTCAATGTTCAAGAGACTATCATTAGGTTGAGCAGTAGTCAAGTCAACAATACCACCACCTTCCACTATCAACTGAGATGTCCCACTATTTAATGTAGTGAGCGGAGGATTGCCATTAGTTTTAAGAGGAGTCATACCAACAGCAGGCTTATCAAATGGTATTTCTATTATTTTACCTGTTTTCTTGCTAACCTTTAAAGTATCAATAGAGCCTGAGCTTGGAACAGTCTGAGTTTGAATGGGTTCTTCCTTGTGGACTTCCTTCCCTGCTATTGAGTCAGTAGAACTGGCCAAAGTTAAAACACACAGTAGATAAAACCAGGACGCAAACAAGAATAAATTTAACAAGTTAAATTTCGTTAACATGATAAACTCTTCACAAAACAGCAATCAGGAAAATGTAAGGTATTCAATACAAACACAGTGCTATTCCAAGAGCACCATCGATTTGATATAGGACTACTGCTGAGAACACCAGTAACTTACTGTATGCCTATAAAGAATATTCACACACAAAAAACTTTTGACTGAACTCTAATCAAACAAACACTTTGGAAATAAAATAAACACCCCTAAACGGCAGCACATAAAATTTGCTTAGCGGACGATAAACTACAGTAGTAATCAAAATCAAAATGACGTTTCTCGTGTTTTACATCCCAAATACATCACACCTGAAATAAAACAGCTGTTGGGAAAAAAGTGGAGTGATAAATGCTCACATCGTTTATAAACAGACTCAATCGAAGCATTTAGGACCGCACTGAGATACTCTCATACCGTTTACGGTTTCAAAGTGGCAAAAAGTATTGTAGATTGGTTTCAGTTTCAATCTGTTCCCATATGTCTCAGCTTAGAGTTGACTTGACACAGCTGCCTTGGGACTGGGAGTGCCTTCACTCACGCTTCACGGTGCCTCCTGTGCTAGTGCTGTCTGCTGTCGCTGTGGTTCTTCTTTTTCATCATCACCTTGTTGTTTTGATAACATAACCTCATAATTCTCAAAGGAAAAGGAGTGCATTCGCATTGTTGAAGTAGTGTAGTCCATGTACATACTAGTTTACTGATATCAAATTAAGTTTACTTTTTCGTTTTTGCAGTTGTAATTTATTGAAACATAAATAAGCTAGTGACTAACTTATACATGTAATCTTTCTAGCCAACGCTAACTTAAGAGAGAAGATTAATTTTTAACAGTTACAAAAATCAGCAACCAACCTAACTTAGCCTAGTTATTTTAATTTCAGAAACATAGCATTGCACACAAGATAAAACATTAACCTATATAGAATGACTGTGTATTTGTAGTTTACTGTTTAATTTTTGAGGGGTAGACTTCGGTATCTGTTGGCACAAACAACCAAATGAAAATATCGATCGATATATCGTTTGGTTAGTTAGGTAAGGTTAACCTAACCTAACCAACCAAACGATATAACAAATGAAACAATCGAACAATCTATATTTTCATTCGGTTGTTTGTGCAATCAGATACGGAAGTCTAGGTACCGGTACAGTACCCTTTTTGAGATCTTGTCTAAGTTAACAATGCTTAGAACACTATAATTGCCAGATCAAGCCCAATATTATGTAACCTTCAGCAATAATCTTGGACATTTATAGGTTCCCAGCCTGATCCCTCAAAAAAATCTTCACTCAGTCATGAGGAGTAGAAGTAATTCTGGTGTTCGTTTGGACTACTACCAACGTGTTGTACAAAAGCTCATAATGTGTCACCAAGTAAGTCAGACAGGATTTAGCAGCAGTGTTGCCAGGTGTACGATAATTATCGTTTTACGATACTTTTGCTCCTTCCCCATAAAAAATAATTTTGCAAAATTGTACGATAATTTTGACGTTGTGAAAGATTTTTTGTCATAAAGTACAATTATTTATCGGTGGCAAGAAAATAAAAATTTCATATTGATTGATATACATTTAAACTTGTTTCCCATTTGTATGGTAAAACGGTGACATCACTTCGTTGCTGTTCGATCTGGCAACCTCGCAAAGGCATCAGCTGTGTTAGAGATGACCCATTGGCTACCAACTTAAGTGCTTATAAGAGAATTTTTGAGAGAAGTTGGCCACCATAAGTACTACTAGGGGTAGAGTACATTGTAGGCTACCTTCAATTAATTATTGTACTCAGTACATTGGCAGTAGGGGAATGCAAAAGCAATGAGCCGGTTGATTTTTCTAGTTGAGAACCAAAACTTTACAGCGTTTCAACTTTTTTTCTAGCAGAGATGCAGATTCCGTGTGTGTGATATTGCTGCCTCTGGTAGAATTTATATTTTCTAGCTCAGTGGTAGGGCCTACTGGTAGAGCAAATACCCCCGCCGCAGCAAACCTGCAGACTAAGCGAATTTCCATTTGACTGGTTGGATTTACACTGAAATGTCTACTTAAAAATATAACATTTATTCTTGATTTAAATAGAATTAGTTTAAAAAGTACTTAGGTTTGCTGCATCAGGGAGGGTAAAACTGTTTTTTTTTGTAAAATGTGAATAGTTAGTAAGAAATAAAAACATTTTCCAAATTTGATCAAAATATGTTCACAAACAAGCAAACTACAACAGTTTACTTATTCTCCATAAGAATAACATGGGAATTTTAAATTTACAATTTTTTTGGAATTTCCTCCGTAACCATTAGGCGCATAATAACGCTTCAATATACTAAATTATTTGTTTTTTTAAGCTCTACAAAATGGTTTGGAAAGAAATTGCTAAATTTTATGTTTTTTTGGTCAAAAATGGGAAAAACCTATTTTTACCCCATAAAACCCCCCGTAAACCCCCGTTCCCATGGTCCGATCATGCTGGATCGCGAACTCGTTCGATTAAACGTACGTTTGCACGTTTGTACCAAATTTCAGCAAAATCGGATCATTTTTGCTCGAGTTATCGTGCTGACGGACACACACACATATATATATATATATATATATATATATATATATATATATATTAAAATTAAAACATATATAACAAAGTACCCTTTTAGTAATTATTTTATTTTTCATGACGACATGTTTCGGAACTAAGTCCATTGTCAAGTCATTTTTACCATAACCTCATTCTTTAAACTAACAAAATTAAAAATATAATCATATGTAAAAATAACAAAATATGTTAACTAAATCTTAATACATTTTGGTATAAATTTTAACAAAACACACAAAACTAATATACCTATCCGACCTGTAGTAAATTTTCAAAATGCTCCTTCCTATAAACTATCAAAATTTTTGGACAACAAAATAAAAAATAGTATCAATATGGATAATGGGTATAATATTAAAAATACTTACGATTTCATAGAAAGAATAAAAGATATAGACATTCCAGAGAACTCTTTACTGATCTCATTTGATGTTTGTAACATGTACACAAATATCCCAACAAAGGAAACATTAAATATTCTAAGAAAAGAACTAATTGGGAAAAATGTATTAAACAAAAAAGAAATTGAAGATATTATTCAGCTTACACAATTGACACTGAAACTAAACTATTTCAGCTACAATTCCTCTTTCTATTTGCAAGAAGATGGTGTACCAATGGGTTCCCCTCTATCTGGAATAATGGCAGATATATTCATGAAAGAAATGGAAACTACCAAAATAATGAATGATTGTAACCCATATAAAGATAAAATCCAATACTGGTACAGATACGTAGACGATATAATTTGTTTATTCAAAGGAAATGAAAATGAAGCTAATAATCTACTAAAATATATTAATAGCCTATCTCCAAAAATACAATTTACAGGAGAGATTCAAAAAGAACAAATAAATTTTCTAGATATTACAATCTCAAAAAATAACAACAGACATACATTTAACATATTTAGAAAACCTACGACCACAGACATCATTATTCCATACTATTCCAATCATCCTTGGAGTCATAAAATCGCTACTTTCCATTCACTTATCCACAGACTTATTAATATTCCCTTGAATAAAGAAAATTTCAAAAAAGAGAAAAATACCATTAAATACTTAGCAGAGAAAAATGGCTACAGGGCAAAAATGATAGACAATATGATAAAAAAGAAATTGAAAAACAAAATACAAAAGCAAAATAAAACAACGGAAAATGAAGAGAAAAAGAAATATATATGTATACCTTATAACAAATATATGACTAAAGCAGTAAGAAATACATTTAAAAATTCGGATATAAGGGTAAGTTACAGAACTAAGAACAATATTTTCCAATTAATCAATAAAAAAATCAAACACACAGAAGATAAGACGAAAAGTACAACAAATCAGGAATCTATAAGATAAACTGTAGTGACTGTAGCAATTATTATATAGGTCAAACATCTCGAAGTTTTAAAACAAGATTCAAGGAACATCTACAAGCATTGAAATCAAAAAATCAAACATCAATGAAGTCGAACTTCGCCGACCATATAATGAACACAGACCACAGTTATAAAAACATGAAAGAAAATCTAACAATTTTAGAATTTGAAAAAGAACGTGAGAAACTTAATGTAAAAGAAGAGCTAAATATTTATATACACAACAAAAATGACCCCAACAACATACTCAACACAATGATTCCAAAATTAAACCAACCTATCTACGATAAAATTGAAAAACTAAGGAAAGAAAGAAAAACATTCATATAGTATAATGAAAAAAATTTATACCAAAATGTATTAAGATTTAGTTAACATATTTTGTTATTTTTACATATGATTATATTTTTAATTTTGTTAGTTTAAAGAATGAGGTTATGGTAAAAATGACTTGACAATGGACTTAGTTCCGAAACATGTCGTCATGAAAAATAAAATAATTACTAAAAGGGTACTTTGTTATATATGTTTTAATTTTATTATATTAGTAGCCCTAAAAATGCAAGAAAATAATAATATATATATATATATATATATATATATGAATTTGAACGGATGGTGTTTTTGGCCTCTAGGGACCTCAAAACGAAAAAAAAAATCGGTCCCGCGTCCAGGTCTTACCATGAGTACTACGGTAATAGCTTAAATTCCCTATATGGGAAATTCGCTAATATATGGGAAATTCGCTAAAAGCAGTGGGGCAGAGACAAAAAGAGTTAAATTTCGGTTATTTTATCATCAACTTGCTTGTTTTACATCATAATATATACAAAATTGTGTGTACGATAATTTTGGACTGCTTGTACGATAATTTACGCCGGTCAATCTGGCAACACTGGTTAGCAGCTATAGGTGTTGGCCTAGTCCTAAGACAGGTTTTTTTATCAACACTATCATTTGAGGTTCTTATTTAGGACCCAGACCTCACCTTAAACGTTCATCAGAATCATTTTTAAACTATTCTATGACATAATACTTGGTTAGACTATTTTTTTTTATTATCTGTTCATAAGTTAAGTTAAGAATTAGGTACCTAATATGCATTGGTAGATAAGTTAAGTTATAAGCTTCAAATGTTGTTTTTCCATAAATTCATACAACTAAAATGGAAGGAGCTAAGTATATATTTTCGAACCATAATCATATCAATAACTTAGGTTTTGGTTAAAACATTTAAGTTAAGTTAGTTTGTTTTGTTAACGTTCTTAAACCAACTTATATAGGCCTATTTCGTTTTTGATTGAATAACAACTTATTGATGAGTTAGTTTCATTATTAATCATCAATAAAATCATAAACAACAGACCATTAACTCAATTCAATGTTTACATCGGGAAAAATATAGAAGCGATAACCGAATTGTAATTGCTATATCATGCTTATTGATATTAAAACCGATAATGTATCGCAGCTTCTCTGCAGAACTGTACCTGAAACATTGCAGTAATCAGGAATGCTGCAAAAATATTTGGCAAAACTTTGACATCCAATTAAGTTACATCATAGTTATCAATTGTTACAATTTACAACCATGGTACCAGAAGTTTTAGTTTTAGTTAACTTAGGCAAAGTTTGGTTAGGTACCTATCTATTGAATCAATAATTTTGTGTTCGATTAACTTATACGCCTAGGCCAACTATAGAGCCGGATAGGCCTACCAAAGTTTTGTAAAATATTCATATATAGGCTAAGTTTATATACATTACAATGCAAGCCTAGGCCTACTATGATCTAGCATGTAGGGTATCCTACCCCCTACCTTAACTTGCTTATTTACATTATCTTAATTGGATTAAACGTTTATTAAAAGTGTGCACTTTATTTTAAAACTGACTTTTGAGAAAATCAAAATTATTAATGATCGTGATCTAATATTTTTAGTTTGAGTACCCTACTCTGTCCTCCACCGTCAATATGTTGAAAATACCATATTAATAATACTGCTTTAAGTTACCGTATGGAAAATTTTATGCTGTGAAGTCCTGAGAATACTATCTGTTTTACTGCATGTCTACACTACTACTTATTGAAATAATCTACTCATAGGTAAACTTATCTCTCTGAAAAATAATAATAACATACATAATAATCCTAATCAGCCAATTGGCCTTTCCTTAACTCCTTATCTCTCTGAAAGTGAGAGATTTTGAAATGGTGATCCAATCAGCTTGTCAAACCAAATTTCTGTGATATGAAACTGTATTTTAATATATTTGCGTGTTTTTTAGCACCCTGTAACTGGACTATTTCCTGCTAGCAAAGACAACGAACACGCATGGATACGAGACAATGTTTACTGCATTCTGGCTGTTTGGGGTCTGTCTATGGCTTACAAGAAAATTGCTGATATGGATGAAGACAGAGCGAAAACATACGAGTTAGAGCAGGTATCCTTGTTTGTTTATTATTTTTTAAGATAGTCTCTATACAATTTTATAAATCGACCACCAATTTCTTGACCAGCCCCCCTAACAAAAAGTTTTGTTATACGGAAACTTTCTTGTTGCACAGAAATAACTAAAGTGACACAACTTCAATTTGGTTCACAAACATTATCAGTAAGGCAACAATTATCTTCAGTTCTCATGGTTTGTTGCAATATATTACAGACATTTTCACTGGAATTAAAAGATAATTTTTAGCAATGAACACTGAAAGCATAAATTTAGGCGAATTATAGATATCCATAATGAATGTCCATCAAATTATTTAATAACTTTTAAGAATTTTGTTACAATTAATTACTCAAATTCAAGCACCAGGTTTTCCTCGACGTTGTTCTTACTTTGCGGCTCATTGAGCCGGGCGTGTTTCCTATTAACAAATATAAGGCTACATCAAGGTTGTAATAAATAAATTTAAACTAAATAGGTAATTGATTTTTGTCTTGAAGTGCTGTGTCAAACTGATGCGAGGCTTGCTGATGGCGATGATGCAGCAGAAAGATAAGGTGGAGAAGTTTAAGATGTCACAGAATCCCGTGGATGCGTTGCACGCCAAGTACAGCTCATCTACGGGACAGTCAGTGGTCGGAGACAACGAGTGGGGGCATCTACAGATGGACGCAGTCTCCTTATACCTGCTAGTCCTGGCCCAAATGACTGCCTCTGGTAAGCTTCGAGCACATTATAGGATAGGTTAGGTGAGGTTGAAAGAGTTTTACTTAATGAGGTGTCTGAATTAATGATAAAAGAGCGTAAAATGTAAAAAGCTGCCCCTGGAACTCACCTAAATGACTTTATACTGCTAAGGAATTAGTAGCTATTCAAACATTAAATACGGTATAGGGTTTTATGTGTGTGTGTTGTGCTTAAAAGTATGAGTTAAATGCAATGAGTTTGTAAAAGCATCATCGTCATTATAGGCTTATGAATTTGTTAATTCTATTAAATTGAATAAAATCTTAAAACAATTCACGTTTTGAGCTGCAGATATTAAAAGTATGTTTAATTTCAAAGAAATGTGTTTGTTTTGTTTCAGGTCTCCAAATAGTTTTTAGTCTTGACGAAGTAGCTTTCATTCAGAACTTGGTGTTCTACATTGAATCTGCTTATTGTATTCCTGTAAGTAATTTGTAATTTAAATCACTATTAACCTACCTGTAAAATTTTCATAGATTTATCAAAATTAAACATATTTAAACAGGCTACTCTGATAATATCTTGATAAAAAAGTAATTTAGAAATGCCGTGTTAATTTTCCTTGGTAGTAATTTGCTAATGCTACCCTAACCCCACTACCCTCCTAATGCTGACACAAACATGCACCTTGCTGTGCAGGACTATGGTATCTGGGAGAGGGGAGACAAAGCCAACCATGGTTTGCCCGAACTCAACGCAAGCTCCATCGGGATGGCCAAGGCTGCGCTGGAGGCCATGAATGAGTTAGATCTGTTCGGAGCTCGAGGCGGCCCATCCTCCATCATTCACGTATTGGCTGATGAGGCTCAGAAGTGTCAGGCCGTTCTGCAGGTGAGCTGCAAAGTTATTTGTAATACAACTAGTATGATGAAGACTTTATCATAGTTGCTTAGCCGTCGTTTGCAACAGGATGAGGGGGCAGAATAGAATAATATTGTTTGTAAAATCTTCTGTTAAAAACAGTGTTACAAACTTATTTTTAATTTTTGTGTTTGTTTTGTGTGTCTAGCTTAACCTAATCAGTGTGTACATAATTATTTTCCACACCACCCAATTGGACACTGGACAGTTACCAAAATTGAGCTACAGAATATTGTAAAACAATCTGTCACATAGTTTTTGTGTTTTTCTGAGCCACAAACATTTAAAAGTCTTTTTCAAGAAAAAGGTACAAGTTGCTTTCCATCTTCTAACGTTGACCTGATTGGTAAGTTAATAGCCAAGGGATATATTTAAATAAAGCATAAATTATTTTGAATGCTGGTTCAGGTAAATATTACATTCCATGAAAACATACAAAGAAAATTTGATTCCCCAGTTCCCCACTTATGCTGTTGCTTTTACTAGTTCATTTTATTCTTTTCAAGTCTATGCTCCCACGAGAGTCCAGTTCCAAGGAGCTCGACAGTGGTTTGTTGTCGGTGATTAGCTTCCCCGCCTTTGCTGTTGATGACCCTGCTTTGATACATCTGACGAGGAATGCCATAATTGCAAAACTACAAGGGAAATATGGCTGTAAGCGTTTCTTGAGGGATGGCTATAAAACTGCTAAAGAGGTAAGATGTTAGAAACACTTAACAAAATTAGAATTTTTGAAGTTTTATTAATACATGTAACAAGATCAAATGTTACACACTAATTCTCATCTATTTTAGTCATTCCTGGGCTTAGGCCATTCATCTTTTCCTATCCTTCCACTGAAATTTGATATATCTTTCCTCTCTTCTACAGGTTTCGCTTTTCATTATCCATCCACCTTCTAGATTTACACATCGGTCTCCTTTTCCCCATCACCTTCAATCCATTTTATTAGCTTCTCGTATCACTTTTTTTTGTCAAGCCATAATAGTGTAGCCTTCTACTCTCCCTATTAAACTGTCCTCAAGAATCCTTCTTCTAATCACTGTAAATCTAACTCTAACATACACTACTTTGTTTTACTTTAAATTTAATTTCTCTAGCTTGTATTTTGATCAATTCTTTGTCTGTACATTCCATTACTGCACTACATAAGTAACTATTGGCCTATGTCTTGCCATGGCTATGTTTAACTTCATAGATATTAGGTACTTTAATTAACAACAGATCATACTGTAGTACAACAACAGACCAATGTTTTGATTTTCCAAATTTACTACTCATGACGGTAGTACAAGTTACAAGTAAAGCTGATAAAATTTGCATTAGGAGTAGAGTTTGCTTTTTTTTAAACAATTAATAGGTTAAAGTTTTCATTGAAAAAAATCATTGAAGAAATAAGAATAAAGATACCCAAGGATGAGAGAAAGTTATGGAATGTATAAGCTATCTAAAGTTGTTTTTCAAAATTTGTTTTAGTGTAAGTTGCCAATAAAAGTAATTAAGTAAAGGGCTAAAAATGCTATAAGCGAGCCAAAATTCAGCTATAGGTACTTTCTAAAGAAATAGGAATGAACTGGCTGTGAACATGAACCATTTTCTGATTTGTAGTTGTTTACATGTTTTATATATGTTCAAAACTAATTCTAATTTAGGCCTAAGTCAAATGTTTTCTTTCCAGGACCCCAACAGGCTCTACTACGATCCTTGGGAACTCAGGATGTTTGAAAGGATAGAATGTGAATGGCCTTTGTTCTTTTGCTATCTCAAACTTGACTACTGTTTTCAAAACAACAAAGAAGGAGTGGAGGAGTACGACAGAGCTCTAGAACAGGTCAGTGATTACCTTGTTTATTAAGTTGAAAACTTATTTGTTAGCAAGCTTATAACATTAACCTTCTACGGATATTCATTTTAAAATACCTTTGTCTCTCTATCCAGACATTAAAACCGTTTAATTCCTAGGGTTTTAGAAATTTGATGATTATTGAAAAATGCTCACTCAAAAAAAAAAAGAAGGAAGAAAGGTCTCTGAGTGGGATTTCGGATTTGTGTTAAAAACTATGAAACACTTAATTAGTTCACCTATGTTCACATACGTTAACTGAGCAGAAGTCAAGCCAACTTGAAGGTGGCATTCTACATTAAGGCCAAAATACTCGAACACGTTTGTTACCAGAATTTACATAATATGCCGGTGTAAGCCTATATTATCTCTTTTATCTTATCATAAAAGGGCAGACCGAAGTATCAAAGCACTTCATCTGCATTCATCTAATTATTTCGCACCCCAATGAGTGGTTTTATTAAGGGACATTAAGTATCCAAGCACCTGATATGCCTGCAGTCTACCGATAAGGGGGGAGGGAAGGTATCTCCACATGTATGGCCTCCTGAGGCATCAGCTTACAGATTTTTTCCCCTCTCGAAAAACATTCACCATTTAGTTCCTCCTCAGGAAGCGACTACTTCTCAACACATGCCAAAAGTTGACGCTATTACCGCAGAGCGCTCCTCACAGTTCTAAGAGCAAGTGATCAGCTGTTTCCTTTAACCTGCTGCATTTCCTTCATAGTGGTGCACCATCACACAATCCATCGCCTTCAATGTTATCCCCTGAAACTATACCTAAAGATTACATTCATTATTAAATATTATAAAACTGGCTACAACTATATCATAGGAATGAAATGTATTGTATAATATTCAAAGGTAGTCAGTTACAGGGTGTCTAGTTTTAAAAAACGGGAAAGTTTGGAATTAGTATTGAATTTCAAAATGGTCTTGAAAAGTTGGGATTTAGTCTTCATTTTTATATCAAAGTCGGGAATTTTCATGATTTTGCCGCGATCGTGGAAGACGACGATCACCTTTGCGGGACCGCGGAAGACGATGATGACATTTCAGAAACCGCGGGAGTTGACGACGAGGATGATGTTTCCATGACCGCGGGAGACGACGGTAATGTCTACATGGCCCCAGGAAATGTTCATGATTTTGCCGAGATCACGAAAGACAACGATCCCGTTTGTGTGACCACGGAAGAGGATGATGATGATGTCTACACCGCCGTGGAAAATGTTCACGATTTAGCCGCCAACGAGGAGGACGATGATGATGTTTCTGTGATCGTGGTTAACGACAATGACGTTTCCGTGTTCGTGGCAGTCAATGATGATGTCTACACAGCCGCAGAAGATTTTCATCATCGAAAAAAAATACCCAAATTGGCTAGTTAGAATTGTTTATTGCTGCATTTTTTCTTTACTTGAAAACACCATATTTTAATAGGCCTAATACTTTTATAGCATAAAGACAGGAGTTAATGTAGTACAACCAAATTATTTAGAAAATTTGGTTAAACTATAAAAATTGGTATCGGTTTCAAGAATCGAGAATCGATTCATTTTGGTTTCTACACATCGCTAATTGTTGAAAAAACTAATCTTGAAAAATCTGGAACTAGTCTTGAAAAGTCTGGAATTAGTCTTAAATTTCAAAATGAAACTAAACTAAATAAACTAGACACTCTGCAGTTAACTATGCATTGTGTTGTGTGTAGGTGCTGGTGAAGGGAGATGACGGCATCAAGTTGGTGCCTGAGTTGTACACAGTGCCAGCAGACAAGGTAGACCAAGAGTACAAGGACCACGGCTCTCAGGAACGTCAAGCGATCGGCCGTTGTCCCTTCTTGTGGGCTCAGTCCCTCTACATCCTCAGCAAACTCCTGCAAGATGTAAGCAACATTATTATACAATACTTACTTACTTACTGCCGTGGCTCTTGGTACCCAAGGTGGTACTTTGATTATTATTACACAATATTCGTCATTATTCCTGGTTATGAAATACTACTTAAAATTACTACTCACAGGATTTTACTATTTATAAATACTATTTTGGCTCTAACACCTTTGCACCTCAGGGATTCCTGGCAGTGGGAGAGTTGGACCCACTCAACCGCAGACTGTGCTCGGAGAAAAAGCCAGATGTGGTGGTGCAAGTCGTGATCTTGGCTGAAGACAACGACATTAGAGACAAGTTGTTGCAGCATGACATTCATGTGCAGACCATCGCAGAAGTCGCTCCTATTGAAGTGCAGCCTGCGCGAGTGCTCAGTCACCTGTACACCTACCTGGGTAAGTGCGACTAGTGTGGTCAAACCTTACCTAACCCAACCTTAAGGAACAAACCTAACCTTATCTTCCATAACCTAATAGAACTTTACCTTTCCTAACATGACCTCACACCTAACCTAATCTTTCCTAAAATGACCTCACTGAACCTAATCCAACCTTACCTTATCTTTTTTTATTTTTTGTGTGCATTTACACAATTTACATTTTTTATCTAAGGGAACGGATCTTACTATTCACAATAACCTGATGCTTTCTCCACGTAAATATTCTGTTAACACTATTGAGATCTTCAGGTTAGATCAAGTGAGAACTATACCACATGACTATAGCCCGTTCACAAAATTTGGATGTTTTGAGTGGAAGTTCCCCCACTTCCTTTTTTGGTTAATGTACATGTTACAGCTGATTGGCGTTTTGGCAAACCTCAGCTGTTGAGCTATATTTTTAAAGGTAGGATCAAGTGGAGATGATAGATTTATTCCTCTAAAACAGCCTAAATTTTGTGAACAGAGTATGTTGAGGCCATGGTGTGCCATCTTCAGAGTAGAAACGGAGCACTACAACTGGTTGTGTTGTGGTAGTAGTTAAATAGTAATTCTTGGAAAGTTACTGATAGCCTTTTGTTTGATGTGGAACACCATATTAGTATTGTGACACATCGGTATGATATGTATTGTAAATAAACATCTCAATGTCTGTTCATATATCAGTGTAACGTGGACCTCTCCCCATTTGAATTTAGAAGAGTAATTTCTACCCATAACAAGATTGACATTTGACATTATTCCTGTATGTACATACAATATGTATAAAGATTTTTGATTCTGATTCACTACTAAACCGTCTTAACAAAACCAACTTCTTACAGGGATGCTGCATGGTACTAACAGCTGCGGCTGATACAAAAACTCTAGGTTGATGTAATATTGATCAATGATTACACTTTTAACAAATTTGTATTTTTAGGACGCAACAAAAAGCTGGGGCTGACAGGACGTAAGTCACGGGATGTGGGAATCCTGAGCACTAGTAAACTTTACTCTTTGCAAGATCGCATCTTTGCCTTCACTCCACAGGTTGGTTCTTATAATATAAATTGTTATGTGTTGATATTATTTTTGGTTAGATGTAGTAAGAGCCTTCAATTCCTTTTCCAATGATAAGTAGTTATTTTTGCCAAAAATTACATGAACTTACACAAAGTGTTGTTTCTCGCTCATTAAAATCTTTATAGCAGATCTCTCAACATATTTAATTTTTTAAGAATTTAATTAAGTTCTGTAAGCTGTTGGTTCTGTAAGTTTTCTAACCTTTTTTGTTGCTATCCCTTGTATTGGTCTATGATGGAATCTGGCAATCTTTACCCTTGGTAGCAACTAGTTACTTAAATTAAACCTGTTGTTTACTACCAGAGTTACTATTAAGCCGTATTCTAGTGTATTAACAAGTATTTATTTGTAAAGGAGTTGTGATGTGAGGTTAAATGCCATTGTAGTTTAACTGTAAGAGGTGGAATCTTTATTAGATTCTTGGTCTTTTCCAATCCATCAAAGACACAAAGTGAGGGATTCAGAGTATTATGCACCTAAAATTTGTGTTTGGCAACTCAGGCCAAGCATTGTCACAACTTTTAAGTTTACTAGCATAGAAAAAACACCCTTAGAGATTTATAATTGTTATAGATAAGCCAAAGGCAAGTAGAGAAGGTGGAAATTATTTTGATCACTAATGCATCAGGTATAGGCATTGCTTGATGTCTATAAACTGGTAACCACAACCTGAATAGTTCAAGAACTGGTCCTATCAAAGTCTTAGTTCTGTTTGTAAAGTCAGTGTCACTTGTTGACAGATGATCAGCTACAAACAAAAACAGATCTCTGAAATGGTTTTGCATTGTCTTATAGCTGACAGATCAGACCCGATACTACATTGCGTCTGATAATGAACTGATGATTGACATTTTCAAGAGCGAGATTAACTTTCTAAAGTCCAGCTGGCAGAACATGCTTGGTCGTCCGCTAGTCATTATGACCTTAAACAGCGCTTATCTAGGTAACGATTCTTCTTTCAAATGCGGACAATGGAATGTTGTTGCGGTTTTTGTAGTCCTTCGCTTTCAGTAACAATCACCTAAATGTTGTGATAGTCCACGTGATTTACCGAGTACTAACATGTTTTAGGCTCTAGTGTGTTTTAGTTTTTCCTTGTGAAAGCATAACCTAGATGTGTGTTGTGTTAGCTTTGAAATTCCTATGAAAACATTTTTATTCGATGAACAAGTTACTCTTTAGGTTTTTTTAAATTTAAGTACCTCTTGTTTGGACCCTTGTGCAAACTTTATAAATTGAATGATCAGAATTTAAGTGACAAAAATTAATCACACATAACGCGTACAAAATTAGTAAATTACAATACCACTTCCCAACAATAAATAAATGCAGCAATAAGTAATAACATATATACTGAATGTACAACACAGGCTAGACAAACCAGATTATGACCCATTTCAGCTGTGGAAAAGGAATGGGTTATGAGACATGCTAGGGGCCGTCCAAACAATCCAAAATCCTAACTACTCCATATGAGAAATAGTGTTACCGGATTTTTCACCAGGCTCTAGCTTGGGATTGTATTTCACGTTACTTCAGGCTAAGCTAGAGGTTGCGACAGTATAACTTAAATAAAATCTATAGGTGATTTTTGAATGCAGGGTTTGGACCCCGGAATAAGGGAACCGAAGTCCCATGCTCTACCACTAAACCAGCTCGCTCCCCAGTCTTACCAAATATAGATTCAATAAAACTGACAAAGTCTGTTTTGACATTTTTTTGGCTTAAAACAATATTTTTCTTAAATAAAAAACATTTTTTAACTTAGAAAAAATTTGTTTTAACTCAGTGTGTGAATGTAAGTTATATATTTCAACCAGTTTTGTGTAATGAAAGAATTAACTAATTAGTATTAGAATATTAAAATAGATTAGGTAGTCTAGTGTAGGAAGGAGTTTGATTAATTGTACCAGTACAAAAGGTGAACAATTTCAGAGCTGACTCAAAAATCTAGACTAGTTGCAGATAATTGATTAGATTTTCAAAATATCCGTTCCTCTTAGAGTCAGTCATATTGGTCGTACGCTATGTAGTAGCAAATGCACATAGTATGCTATTTTATTTAGGAACACACAAAACATAACCTAACGATAATTATGTTTACCATGCTAACAATTCTGCATGTGTTGCTCCTCCGAAGTTTATTTTGGATAGAAGCTTAGTGGCATGTTTGTGTGTGTCAGACTATGGACTTAGAACAGTACTACATGACAACGGACATAGATTTCCTAGCCAACAATATAATGATGGACATTGCTTTCTTGGCGATGAATTGGAAGCATATGCTGGGCCGCCCAACATACATCTTGGTGGCCACCGAAACTTCCGCAATCGATGGTAAATTATCATGTTGGCTTGAGGAATATTAACCTTATCTTACTTTAGGAAATATCAATGTTCGAGAAAAATTAGTGTTTTGCTGTCAGCTTTGTTTGAGATAGGCCTACTTTTAAAATGTCTTAGTTTTGGAAAAAAAACAGTTGCTGTTTAGATATCAGTTTTGAAATGTATCTTTGAGTTTGGATATAAAATTTTCATTTAAAAGTAGTTGAATGTAAAGAAAAGGGCTTTGCAGATTACATTTTTAATACAAAGGTAATTTTTTAAGTAAGCGCTGTTTGTTCGTGTAGCTTCTTAGTTCACGTGTACGTCCCAACGAGGCTCCTCATCGCTTGCTGGCACATTTGTGAACAGAGCGGTGCAATATGCAGCTCATCAGATCAGACTGACCTTATCTTGCATGCGGGGGGAGATTCAATTGTTTAAAAAAATTGTTTAAGCACACAGCAAAGCGTGTTGTCAGCTGCAGATCTGCAAATGGTGCCATTTTGTCCACCAATGTGTCAGTAAGCGGCGAGCCGCCTCGTTGCGGCGTACACACAAACTTCAGAGCTATAAACAAAAACAGCCCTTAAAAAAAAACCCTGTTTACATTTTCATTTTAAACTCACCCAGGTACTCTGTACCTAACACTGTTGCATACAATTTTTTTGTTTAACATGGCCAATGATTGTATAAAGCCATACGATGTGTTTGGAAAAGAATCTTACACAATTCATAATATGCTCATTATTATAATATATTAAATATGGCTTGAAAGATTAACTTAATAACTTAATATTTAGATCTAGTCACTAATGTTGATGTCCAATAGATTAACTCTGTGGAAATTTTATGCATGGATTAAAATGCTTCTGAAATGATATTACATATCATAACAATATCAGTATACTTTTACGGATGGAATATGGAACAATAATTTATCTTCTACTAATAAACTGTTACAACTAGTAGTTTTACCAAGTAAAATTGGTTTTATATATATATTTTTTGTCATCGTTTTAACAAATTAGTTGAAAACTGAAATGATGAAAAATTGAATAGTAATACTTCTCTTTAAATTGTTATAACTTTTAGTTTTATAAGTTAAAAGTTAATTTGGTTAAGAGCAAATTTTTTTAACGAACATATTTTAATACTACTTTAATATATAGGAACATATTTTACTACATATTTTAATAACCATAATAAATCAATCAAACCTATTTTGAATTTCATCAATTCATTTAGTTTTACACTCATTACGACACATTTAGTAAGGTATTAACCAACCCTTCATTTTTAATAGCAATTGTAATTTGTTACAGATCAAGGAAAAATCCCGTTGGCAATGGTGACAACAATGAAAAAGTTAAAATCTGGATACATCAATGGGACTCGGTTAGTTATTTTTTTATAGCATAAAGCTTTTTTACAGCATTGAAAACTGTGCCACATGGATTTTTTGCACTATTTGTTTGAAATGAAGCTAATTATCATATTTTTTCAGTCCAGATGACCTGATTCAATTGTGTATAATTGTGTATAATCAATTGTGTAGGCCCTACCTCATGTATATTAAACAATTTAAAGTAAACCTGTTACCAACTAATAACTAAACTGTCGATGAAAAATGTATAAGTATGCATCAACTTTTGTCTCGAAAACATAATCAATCATTGGTTTTCATTTGCAGAGTCACCTTAGGTAATCTGAATGAGTTCCTCAGCACCTCCTGCATCACCAACTTAAGCTTTTTGGGAAGCCAAGAAGATGGAATGCCTGACAGTAAGTGTCTCTAACCATTGGCTTTGGTAGACTGTCAATCCTTCTGTAAAACTTGAATCTTGTTTTGATGTTTGTTTCAAATGTAGTCATGTTAAAGTTCAGATGTCCACTAACTTTTTCTCTACTTATTTAGAACTAGTTGTAACCCGCGGGGTTTGCCCCGTTTAACTTCTTAATTTTCAAGATTATCTCGTTCGCATGGCTCAATCACGTCCTGGTTGAAGTTTGTTCGCTACGCTCACTCACCTTTAGGCTGGAGCTCGTTCGCTACGCTCACTCACCTTTAGGTTGGAGCTCGTTCGCTACGCTCACTCACCTTTAGGTTGGAGCTCGTTCGCTACGCTCACTTGCCTTCAGGTTAGCTCGTTCGCTACGCTAACTCGCCTCCAGGTTGAAGTTCGTTCGCTACGCTCACTCACCTTTTGGTTGCAAATTAGCTGTTGTCATAAATGTAAAAGAAATAATAGTGCTGCACCCTGTTGGTAATCCTTGTAACTTTAATGCTATTGAACATCATAGAACAGAACCAACTTGTTTAATTGAAACAGCTGTTAAGATTCAATAATTCCATTTCTCATAAGGTTAACATGGGAAACTCTAGAGCCACTGGGGCGGAGCCCGAAAGGATTTTTGAAATAAGAATATGTCTATATGTTAATCGGGAATGTGAGCTATCATCATGCCAAATTTCAGCCCAATCCGACCAGTATTTTTCGCGTTCACTTGTCACAAACATACATCCAAACTTTCTCATTTATAATATTAGTAGGATGAATTTGAAAGTGTGTGTTTTACACATTGTATATGATACCTCAGGCCAATCAATAGTTTACAACAAATAGTTCCATTCGGTTAAGATAGTTTTAAATTTAATAAGAAATCAAATCAAATAAATAAAATTTAACAGTAAAATACCACTGCCGCAGCAAACCTGCAGACTAAGTGAATTTCCATTTGTTCATATGTGAAATTTTCGGGAAAAAAATATTTCTGATTTTCGGGACAGGATTACATTTGATTCGGGAATTTTTCGGGACGGGATTTCATCCGGTTGTCGGCGATTTTGCCGCTTTGCGAGTGACGATGATGCAGCTATCGCGAGAGATGTTCACGATAGTTCCGTGAACGCAAAAGGCGGAGTCATACCGACGATCACGCCGTGACCGGAGTCATTTTGACGATCGCACTGTGACCGCGAGTACAAGTTTCTATATCTGAAAATTTTTACCCATTTTTTTTATAGATCATTGCCACTTATGGTAAAAGTTCATTTTTTTGTCTTTTTTGGTAACTGCAATACTCAAGACTTTCTTTTTATGCACAGGGAAAAATCCCGTCCCGTTCCGAACTAAAAATTCAATCCTGTCCATCACTACATTTAACAGATATGGTGGTGAGCAATAAATTTATTTGGTCCAAACTGATAAGCTGAAAAAATGTTGCACTTGTAACTGTATAGGCTACTCACGTTTTTTTACTAATAAAAAAATTAGTCATAAATTAAACAGCAATATTTTATATCTTTATATAATCTCACCTAAAATTAATTAAGTAAGATATCTAGTGTTTGACAGGACTTAATCCGCAAGTAGAGCAATATCTAGAACAACACATGATGAGGACTCTGACTCAGAAGACTTCGCTACTCAAACGTCCAGTGTCTCGGCCGAGAAACCTACGACGCCGTATGTCTGTCAAAGGAGCAATCAAGAAAACCAGGTCCATCATCAATGTTGAGCGTAAGTAATGCTTTAAGTCATAATACATTTTAAAATTCCATACCGGTACTATAGCCGACCTGGAAAGCAGAAAAAATCGGGAATAATTGTACATGAACTTTGAGGACCAGAAAAAACTGTGATTGGTGCGTGAATTTAGTAAAGAACCAGGAAATTTAAATGATTTAATAATCGCCAAAAAATCCGCCTGAAATCATTTTTTTTCCTTTTTTCGTAGTTAAAAATTGTGATTGCAGGAAACTATCACAAATAATAGACGTTGCTGCAATTGCAAGAATTATCACGGGTGTTGCGGAGTTAACAGGAAATCATCGCAGAATTTGCCGCAGTCGCAGGAAATCATCATGAATTTTGCTGTGATTGCAAGATGATATCAGATTTGGCTGCGATTGCAAAAAATTTTCAAAGGGGTTGAAATCATTACAGGTGTTGTTACTATTGCGGTATATTATCTCTGGTTTTTTCTCTAAAAAAGTGACTCTGGTTTTTATGAAAATACCCTGAACAAAAAAAGTAAATACATATTCTTTTTTACAATTTAAAACCAAACTTGAAACACCTATAATTTAAGCTATTCACAGGCTAACTAGAGATAAAAAGTCAAATTTGTGTAGCGGACTATGGTATGGACGAACGTCGCCCGTCTGTTGTTGGGTGCGTCCCTCTAATGGTGGAGCCACCCCCTAGTCCTCACTGGCCCCATGTACCTCGTAGTCCTTCTCCTGAGGACATCACTCCACTATGGAAGGTCAACCAGACACCACGAATGAGGTAGGCCAATATTGGTCATCAGCTCAACTGTTAGTTACTTTGACCAAAACATCTTTCCTTTATTTTTTGTCCTTTTTTATTTATTATGTCTGGGTAGAAAAATATTAAGAATTTTACCATTTATTTTATTAAAGACCAAAGATATATTTACATACTTACTTACTTACTTACTTACTTACTTACTGGAGTGGCCACTGGTACCTTAAGAGGTACTTGGCCTCGCCCACACACTGCCTCCAGATTGATGTCTCTGTCTTTGGTGTCATTTTCACTCCTTCCCAGTCTTCTTACATCTTTTTGTACTTGCTCCTTCCATCTAAGTTTGGGACGGCCTCGTGGTCTCCTGCCTTCGGGGTTTCTATCAAGTACATTTCTCGTAGTGGAGTCTTCCTCTCTTCTCGAAATATGACCAAACCATCTCAATCTTCTGCTCTTGACTTCCGCTATGATGTCAGGGTCTTTATAGCGCTCTCTAATCTCGATGTTGTGTCTCATTCTCCATATTCCATCTTCGAGCGTCGGGCCATATATTTTCCTGAGAACCTTGTTTTCAAATGTTATAATTTTCTTTTCTGTTTTTTTGCTCATTGCCCATGTTTCTGAGCCATACAGTAAAACTGGTCTTATTATTGTTTTATAAATACGTAATTTGGTGTTGTGGGATAATAATTTTGAGCTTAACAATCTATTGCATGCATGGAGGGACCTGTTAGTCGAATTTAACCTATTTATTACTTCCAATTCTTCATTATTGTTGTCTGATAATAGGACTCCTAGATACTGAAAACTATTTACTTTCTGAAAAGAGTGGCTCTCTATCTGTAAGATATCATCATCATCTTCATCATTTTCTTCTCTACCATCCCATCTTCCGCACTTCATGAATTTTGTTTTACTGTCATTAATTTGTAAGCCAAATTTTCCTGTATTTACATAGCGATGTTATATCTTATGTGTGTTATATATGATTCTTTTTGGCGCTAAAACTAAAAGTTGTCTCTTCCCGGTTTTTCTGCAGTATGATGAAAATGTAATTATACCGTCTAAGTATTTATGAACTGTACTGTATTACTTAACCTTTTGAACTACAACTATTTATTTCTCAATGATTTAATTATGCCTAGTTTTATAATGTTTTACCCGTAGAGAGCGAGCTGGTATAGTGGCAGAGCGCAGAACTTCAGTACATAAGGTCCTGGTTTTATATACCTTCAAATCAACAATTGATTTTATTCAAGTGATAATGCCGCAACCCCTAGGTCTAGCCTGAAGTAATGTGAAAAAAACTAAACCGGGTACGTGCTTAGCGTCCTAAGAGAAAAAAATTGGTTTTACCCTCAATTTATACTGTCCAAATATTTGATTCTTTAAAACAACATTTTGTTAGACAGGCACACACTTAGTGTGGACAGTTAAAAATTAGCAAAATTAATAAATTAACACTAATACCGAAACCCCAGTCTGACAGGCACACGGGAATTTTCACAAACGCATGTTTTCAACACTGTTCACTTGGGAGATTCCATTCCCCCAATTCCTTCCCCCCTTTTCCTCCCCTACCAATTGATATATCGTTTGTTCATTTTGCATGGGTGCCGTGACCCTGGCAGGTTGTCTGTTCATAACATGGCAGTCTCAGAAGCCCAGCTTTAGTGTATTTTAAAGCGCGGTCTCACAGGTCGAAGGTTTCGGTTTGTGTGTTTCTAAGCGGGGTCCATTATTTTTCAAATGGGGTCTCACAGACCGGGGGTTTCGGTTAACGTCAGCCTAGATAGGGTTTCGGTATTAGTGTTAAAGAGTAACCAATAAGGAATCAACCCATCCCAACTTACACCTGTGCTGTCCACTGTTTATTTCATTAAGCTCTGCCATAGACAGAGCATCTTGAGTTGCACATCTGATCCAACATCCAACCAAGATGGAATTCAAACCCTAAATTTACCTTGTTGCCTTCCAGCCAGAATGACAATGCTGAAGATTGCTCGGCCGCTGATCTGGCCTAACGATCTACCGCACTACCGATTCTGATCAACCCAAAGCCCCAAACATAGTTCTGATCTTGACTCCTAGGTTGCAGCATGTGCCAGGTGTAGCTTAAAGCCAGGTGTTAAATTATTTTCACATCAGTTTTTTTTTTATTTGTAGTTGAAATTTCTGTTTTGTAATTCTTGGATTCAATAATCATGGAGCTCAAAGCATTTAAGAAGTTTAAATGTCAGTGGTTTGGTTTGTAGTAGGATAAAAATACATGCTTGTAATCGTTTTAATGTTTGAACAGCAAATTTGTTGTAGGATCCCAACAATCCTGCTTGTGAAGCCTGTGCCAAGGTTGGTTTTGTGAGCTTTGAAATATTCAATGTGCACAAATAGAGTTTTTTGTTAAACGTTTATTTCGTCTGGAATTGTTAGAATAGTAATTTGGCTTCAAAATTTTAAAAAGTCTTTGGCAACACTTAACATACTGTAGATAGTACATTACAACACATCTAACAAAATGACCTTTTTCATGTATATTCTTCATCTATTTTAATAAGTTTTTTAAACTCACTAGAATAGGAATAATACACACATAATGTAGCAAACTACAACATAACTATGTCTAACAAATAGTACCATTTTATAACTTTTTTATTTATTGTATTTTTATGTTTGATTTTAATCATTTCATTTTTGTGTTTTGTTATTTACATTTTTTACTTTGAAAACACACATTCGAATAAAATTAATAAATGTACATTTTTGTAAAAATACAGAAGGGGTGATTATTCACTAACTCTTATATGAAATAGACCCCATAAGGGTGGGTGTTTTGTCGGTTATAACTTACGCATTGCTTTGTTTTCTTTATGCCTATCTCAACAGAAAAGGCGGCAGAAGAAAGTAAGTCTCTTCAAATTATGAATTTAGCCGTAAAAATATTTTAAATCATTGATCATAGTTACAGTTATGTTATTCTAGGTAAATATACAAAGTTTTAAGTATTAAAATTATACAATTTTAAGTTATACGGTTGTTTAGTTTAAATGATGTTTTCTATTTTGCAGCGACTAGGTGCACGTTTATAACGGTTTCATTTTATTGTTAAGGTTCTTTATTATTTATATTAGTATCTTGTTTACGTTAGCTGACTATTTCCCATGAGTTGAAAAATCATTAAACTTGTTTATTTATTGTATTGTAAGCATCTATTACACTTTTCTTGGATAGCAAGCACTGCTTAGCCAACCCTAAATCATGCAAAGGAGAATCATAAATCTTACTAAATATTTTTTTAACTTGTAGGCCTGTAACAGAGAGATAATTTAAGGTAGGTAGTCTCTGGATTACCAATATATGATGTGGTTTCTGAAACCTGTATTATCACTAATCCTATGGTTGAAGTGTTTGGTTTACATTCATGGAACCATCTGTAGGCATCAAACTTGTTTGCGAGGTAGTGATTAGTTTGTGGTTGGTTGCAGGCTGAACTCGGAGACGCAGTATGCTGACACGGAGGTGGAGGAGTTGTTGACGATGTTGCGAGAGTCTGAACATCTGGAGGAGCAGGGAGACATTCTGCAGTATCTGGTGGACACTCAGGGGCTAAACTACGACACAGGTGAGGCAAAATGTGGCATTTGCCTGTGTAATATCCTGCTATCAACTGGTTCAATCCGCCGTAGTTTAGTGCTCTAAGGACGGGATCATTCACTTCATTAATATTTTAATATGTAAACTGATATAATAGCAATATTCTTGCCCTTAAGGCTTGAGTGGAAGGTTATCACTTCATTTTTATTTCATATCTAAATTTATAGCATTTGTTAATAAATTAGATCATCAAAATGGCTGTGATATAGATGTGGATTGGCTAAGTAGTTAATTAAATTAATAATATCTTCAAACTTGAAATGTAGCATGCACAAGTAGTCTTAGAATATAATTGAGCCTCAAATCGATCCTCATGGGCACAGAAACGCTACAATATTTGTATTTTTAAATTTAATTGTAAGAATAGATTACTTACGTGAATAGCTCATTGAATCGTGAGTTTTACTTCAGTACATGTTTCGACACATTGTCATCATGAGCTGAGTACTTGTGAAGTTTTTATTCACAAGTACTCAGCTGATGATGACAATGTGTCGAAACATGTACTGAAGTGAAACTCACGATTCAATGTAGGGATGGACGGGTCCCGAAATTTCGGGAATTTTTCGGGAAAAAAATATTCCCGATTATCGGGACGGGATTACATTTGACTCGGGAATTTTTCGGGACGGGATTTGGTCCGATCGTCGGCGATTTTTCCGCTTCGCGAGTGCCGATAACGCCGTTATTGCGAGCGATAGGTCCGCGAACGCAAGAGACGAAGTCGTTTCGACGATAACGCCGTGACCGCGATTATTGGACCGACGATCGCACCGTGACCGCGAGTCATAACGACGATCGGGCTGTGACCGCGGAGTCATACCGACAGTCACGCCGTGACCACGGAGTCATAACGACGATCGCGCCGTGACCGCGAAGTCCTACCGACGATCGCGCTGTGACCACGAGTCATACCGACGATCACGCCGTGACCGCGAGTCATACCGACGATCGCGCCGTGACCGCGAGTCATACCGACGATCGCGCTGTGACCACGAGTCATACCGACGATCACGCCGTGACCCCGAGTCATACCGACGATCGCGCCGTGACCGTGGAGTCCTACCGACGATCGCGCCTTGACCGCGAGTCATACCGACGATCGCGCTGTGACCACGAGTCATACCGACGATCACGCCGTGACCCCGAGTCATACCGACGATCGCGCCGTGACCGTGGAGTCCTACCGACGATCGCGCCTTGACCGCGGAGTCCTACCGACGATCGCGCCGTGACCGCGGAGTCCTACCGACGATGGCGCCTTGACCGCGAGTCATACCGACGACCGCGCCGTGACCGCGGAGTCCAACCGACGATCGCGCCGTTGCCGCAGAGTCCTACCGACGATCGCGCCTTGACCGCGAGTCATACCGACGATCGCGCCGTGACCGTGGAGTCCTACCGACGATCGCGCCTTGACCGCGGAGTCCTACCGACGATCGCGCCGTGACCGCGAGTCATGACGACGATCGCGCCGTGACCGTGAGTCATACAGACGATCACCCCGTGACCCGCGAGTCACAAGTTTCTATAGGTACCTGTAAATTGTTACCCATTTTTTGGTTTTTATAGATCAGTGCCACAAATGGTAAAAATTGATTTCGTATGTCTTTTTTGGTAACTGCAATACAGTACAGTTCGTGCGTTTCTTGGTGAAGCCTGGAGGGTGGGTGGTTAGAGTGGCTCTAAACCGGTTTTGTATGGGCTTCAACCCTACCCCCAGGCTTCATCAGGAAACGCACGAACTCTACTTTCTTTTTATGAACAGAAAAAAATCCCGTCCCGTCCCGAAAATCGGGAAGGAAATAAAAATCCCGTCCCGTCCCGTCCCGAACTAAAAATTCAATCCCGTCCATCCCTAATTCAATGAGCTATTGATGTAAGTAATCTATTCTTACAATAATATCTACAGCTCAGGGGCTTAACAATGAATTTAAATTTCAGTTATCAGCGAGGTATTTCTAAGAGTGTATTATAAGTACTCGTAGTTTATGTATTGTATTAATTAATTGCTATATAAAATGTTGAGAGAAATCTAGCCCCTCCAGTCGATTAATTTGGCAATCTGTCAACTTTATGGAGTGCGGTGATGGTACTTTTTTTGTGTTTAAATTGCTATTACCATGAGTAATCAATCAAAAGGTCGCCGGTTCGTTCCTGAGAAAAGTCAGTAGCTTTTTGATGGTTCGAAACTGGACCCAGCTGTTCCTGATCATTGGGCTTAAAATAAATGATCCTGGCTAATGAAACCGCTGATCTTTGTCAATAACAAAGCTACACAGGTCATCACACACCATTCTACACTCATCCTTCACTCATATTTGGGTTAAAATACTCGCCTAGATGGTTTCCCCATCTCAATGATTAATAATTGACATTGTTGTAAGGAAGCAGTATAAATTCTAGTTTTTCAAAATCAATGTAAAGACAATCTTTTTTAGCGCAATGGTAAAATAGAATCTAGGTCCAGAAACAAGTCTGCTCGGGATTGAAGCAGCACAGCTTCAGATTTGAAGGGAAGAATAATTATAACTATTCACTGACTCAGACAATTATCTTTAGTATGTACATGATACATTTAATTTAATCAACATCAGTCTCGAAGATAGGAGATCACACTTTGGAGTATGGTCCTGACTAAAGAATATCATTAAAAACAATAATAAGCTATATAGCTGAATAAGCTATCATTAAATTCAATATTCATATTTTCTTTCAACTAAGGTGTCAGCACTGTAGTAAATCAATCAGTTCCCATGCTTGTGCTGTCACTTAAAGTTTGCGGCTTGCAAGACAAAGGTAAGTACATTTGCTTATCATAAGTACTGACGTACCTTTTGTCTTGCAAGCTTTTAATTTATCAATATAATTAATTCTGTACTGTACCTGCTTCCCATTTCTTTGCTGGATACGTTTCACACAGGCTCAGTGTCAATGTGGCCAGGCAAACACAAAGTTAACAAAAGGCCGCCAACTGAAAAAATTAAAAATACCGATGCTATGTTAACTTGTAGGTATGATGGAGGAAGGCAAGGCAGTGACAGTGAAGGATCTACTGAAGGTGTTGTATGAGAAGGCTTGTCAGCAGAAGTTGTGGGGACTGGTGCGTCACACAGCAGGCATGTTGGGCAAACGGGTCGAGGATCTGGCCAAAGCTGTCACTGATCTGCTCGTCAGGCAGAAACAGGTAAAAACTTAAAAGACATTGAATTAGACTACCCAGATACAAGATAGTCAGTTTCAGTAAGATAAGCCAAATAATATTTGTAGGTAGTAGCCTACAGTTATTGTTGAAAATAAATATAAAAAAAACCATTAGCATAAATGAAGCTGTTTTGTGGATTTAAAAAATTATTGTAAAAAGTGTTTTGTTATCTCATGAAACTCCTGTGATTTAAAACCTTATGGTAATGTGTTTGTTAATCAATTGTTTCAAATTTTGTTTGTAAAAATTTGGGGGTTTAACCCTAACTCAACTTAGCCTACTTAAAATCGGTTAAAACGAGGCCACTCATCTTAAAAACATTATATGCTATTGCTATGGCCTAGAATAGGCCTATTTAGAAATTAATTTGTTGCCTCCTTGCCTTAGTTTAATTCCCTAATTATCCTAGAGCTTAGCCAAAATGCCATCTTGAGTGTTACAGACTGACAGAAATAGAGATAAGACTCGTTTCTGCTTCTTTTATGTATAAAACATAAAGATAACCTAAAATATATAGTTCTGAGCAGACAAAACTGTAATTTTATTTATATAGATGTTAGTTGGTCCTGGCTGAAGAAACATCTGTTCATAGTCAATAACACAGCTATACAACATAGCAATATCACTCTAATCTACACTCACCTTTCATTAATTTTTTGGTAAAATATGCTCAACAGTGTCCCATTTTAATTAGTAATTTATTGTGATTAGTAAAATAATGTGTTGTACAGCTCTGCCATAATTCTTATGTGGCTTCTGGATTGTATCCACAACTTGGTGAAACTGCTAACATCACAATAACATGATTAGTTTAAACAAGTGATGTAACCACACCACAACTGTGTGTTTTCAGGTTACAGTTGGAATGCCACCAAACAATGAACACACTGATGATTAGTGATTAGTTTATACAAGTGATGTAACCACACCACAACTGTGTGTTTTCAGGTTACAGTTGGAATGCCACCAAACAATGAACACACCATCACTGCTCCTCTGCCTGAGAATGAGTTACGACAGTTGATACATCAGGCATACGGGGACGATGAGAGCACAGCTATGTTGACCCAGGTAGGGGGGTAGGTGTGTGTTGATCTTGTGTTTTCTCTCCTTCCATATTAAACTGTTTGTTGTGCTGTTCTCAAATTAAAAGAGCACAAACTACTTGGCAAAAGTGTTTGAAGAGATTATGATTACTACTTTATAAGATATCAGGAATTCCTAATCATTATTTAAGAAATGTAGGTTTCTAACAAGAATTAAATTATACATTAAAAGTTTATACACACAGTAACGCCTCTTAATCTAAATCAACATCTGATAACAAGGCACGTTTGATAATATAGCATTGGTCTAAGGCCTAGGTTTATTACACAGGCTTAACCCTTTTCGTTTTCTGTTTTTAAGCCACTTATAGTGCACATACCCACTATCCATTTCAAGCTAGATATGATATGACATCAAATTTACCCTGTTGTACTCACAGATACGCTAGGCTACTTATAGTGCCTCCTGGTGTTTTGTCGTCAGGTGTGATGAGATCATCTTTTGTTTTATTATTGAACAACTGTCCTCAGTAGGTATAGATGTTTCTGGAAACTCGTTTTACAAAGTATCTCATAACTTATTTATTTAGTTTATTTCAGTTGTTGTTATCGTAACTGGTTTTATACAGATCCATATGGTGACAACACTCTAATATGTAAACTTTACACTCAAATATGTATTTGGTCTATACTTATGTGTGTTTTTATAATTTCAGGAACTTCTTGTATATCTTGCCATGTTTATTCGCACAGAACCTCAGTTATTCCTGGAAATGTTACGACTTAGAGTTGGTCTTATCATTCAGGTAAGTCGTCCTAAAGTAGCTTTACATAAACATTATTATTGTTTGTTGAATTGAATAGTTACACCAGTTTATTTATTTATTGGAGGACCTAGAAATCTGTTTACACACTTTGGATGATTAATCCTCCTCCCAATAAGTATTGCAATCTAGCCTTCATATAGCTAGAGTGCTTCTTCAGATTATTGACATAATGCACGTACAATCCAGGTACATCTCTTCGTCATGCCAGAAAAAGGGTGAACTACATATTACTCAAAGTATAGATTACTACACCTCATCAAAGAGAACCACAGCGCCATTTAAAGCCCAATGAGCAAAAAGAATTTGAGATTACCAAACTCCTATCCTAAGTATATTTTTATTTTAATTAAAAAAGTTGGGAGTGTGTAAGTTTTTTACATATTTAATTTATGTTTGATAACTCTAATGTTTGATAACTCCATTCATTACAACTAACGTATGATGCAGGTAATGGCCACAGAGCTATCTCGTACACTCATCTGTTCTGGCGAGGAAGCCTCAGAACACCTTCTCAATCTTTCTCCGTTTGAGATGAAGAATTTGCTGCACCACATCATGAGTGGGAAAGAGTTTGCCATTAGCAGTGGTCAGTTTTCCATTTGTAATCATAAAGTAAAAAAGTTATTTGAATATTTTGAAAATGTAAATGTAGTTAGTTTCTTCTGGTGTACAATATTTATTTACAGTAGACTCCCTCTTATTCCGACTCCTCGGGACCGAGGCCAGTCCAGATAACGGTTGTTCCGGTCAAACTGATGTCCCCAAAAACTCGTTATTAAAACGGACCGTTTAAATGCATACCTTGACTTAAATTAAGGAGAGCATTGTATTTAGACACATGATCGCTGGTCTCAAATCATTCTCACGAGAACATTGTTTCAGTATCGCTCACTTCCTGCTGATCTAGTACGGTTAAACTGTTGTGCTGATAAAAATTGTCCGGTTAAAGAGATGTCATTTCTGCCGAGTGTAGTCCGGATAATAGGGAGTCTACTGTACTGGGTACGCCAATTTCAGTTCTAGAATTGGATTTCTGAGGGCTTAGAAATTTCTATATAAACTAAAATAACAGAGTTTTCTGTGATTTATTTTGGTGTAAAAGTCATTTTTTGCTATTTTGTTTTCTTTGATTCCTGAATATGAACAAAATAAACGTAAAAACTTAGGACCTAGATATTATGCCCATTGGAGCAGAGAGCCGGTGGTGTAATGCCCATGGGAAGAAGGAGACTGAAGAGTTTTGCCTATGGGAATAGCCAGATAGAGGAGACAGGTGAGCAAATTTATTGGACAAAGTGCAGTTTATGTCCATGGGAATAATGAGCCAAAGGCGTTATGCCCAATGAGTGATATTAAGGCCTTCAGTCTGCACTTTAAAAACTCAGCCTAAACATGTCTACTTCTCTGTTTCAGTTGGAGGAGGAAACTTTTCTGTAATCAGTTGCAAGTCTGGAAAAGTGAGCAAGGTGGGACTGACTCATCCCTACATTTCTGTTATTTTATCAGTTTTAGCGAATTTCCCTATAGGGAAGTAGCTATTACCGTAGGTGGCACGGTAAGACCTAGACCCGGGACCGATTTACTTTTTCATTTTGATGTCCCCAGAGGCCAAAAACACTATTCGTTCAAATTTTTATATATGTATATATATATATATAGACATATATATATATATATATATATATATATATACGTCCGTGAACGCGATAACTTGAGTAATTTTTGTCCGATTTTGATGAAATTTGGTTTAAAGGTGTAAAGCGGGATAAACTTGAATGAGTTCGCGAACCAGCACGATCGGACCATGGGAACGGGGCTTTACGGGGGGTTTTATGGGGTAAAAATTGGTTTTTCTCACTTTTGACCCTCAAAACACAAATTTTCCCAATTTCTCTTTAGACCTTTTTAAAGAGCTTAAAAAAACAAATAATTTAGTATATAAAAGTATTTTTGTTCGAATATTAGTAACGGAGAATATTAAAAAAATTGTAAATTTAAAATTCCCATGTTATTCTTATGGAGAAAATTGTCAAATGTTGTAGTTTGCTTGTTTATGAATATATTTTGATCAAACTTGGCAAATTTATTTATTTTGTACTAAGCTATCAATATTTTACTCAAAAACACACTTTATTAGTTTCCTTGTAGCAGCAAACCTAGGTACTCGTTAAACCTAATGTTATTAAAATATATTTAACTGAAAATCAATTCAGACAAATGGAAATTCGCTTAGTCGGCAGGTTTGCTGCGGCGGGGGTATTTTTGTATAGAATCCTCATGATACAATTTACCCTTGGTTTTAGTGAATTTCCCAAATAGGGAATAAGCTTTTACTATTGGTCTCATGTTAAGACCTAGACCTGGGACCAATTTACTTTTCGTTTTGATATCCCCCAGATGCCAAAAATGTAACCTTTCTAAAATATATTTATATATGCATGCGTCCGTCAGCACGATGACTCGGGTTAAAACAATCTGATTTTGATAAAATTAAGTAAAAACGTGTAAACCTATTGGGTGGTTGGGTGAAAATTGGTTCTCCCAATTTTTTCACTTCAAAATATAAGATTTCAAAGTTAACTTCCAGATCATTTTGTTGAGCTAAAAAAAAAACACACAAATAATTTAGTATATTGAAGCGCCATTGTACATCTAATTGGTTGTGGAAAAATCCCAGAAAACTATCAATTTAGAATTTCCATTTTAATCTTATGAAAAATATTTAATTGATTGTAGTCTACTTGTTTATTGATGATATATTATATTGTGATTAAATTTGGTAAATTTTGTAAATTTATTTATTTTATAATGACCTTAATTGTAGCAGCAAACCCTAAGTACTCACTAAACATAGTGTTTTTAAATGGGGAATAAAAAAACAGTCAGGCAAACAGAAATTTTCTTTGTCTGCAGGTTTGCTGGGTCGGGGTTATTTTTGTATGTGTGACTCTTAACATTAAGTCTTCATTGGCTTCATTATCTTCTTTTGTAAGGTTAAAGAAGGCTACATAATGCTAATAATAATTAATAAGGAATGAATATAAGTTAAAGTTACAATTATTGTTATGTAAACCTGTGGTCCAACCTAAGATAGACCTCGGAAGTCTGGCTAGATACTCAATATCTTAGGGAAATTTTGTGTTTGTCTTGCAACATTCTTTCTCAAGTATTTTCCCTAATGTCTGTGTTTGTTGAACTCTGATCAACTGTTGAGGTTTGTTCCCACCTCAAGACTATGTCAGAATTCAGATCCAAAAAAATTTCTGAATCTTCTGTTTTACTTATCTTTATTACTTACTTAGTGATGGAAACTATATTTCTTTAAAGGCACGTTTACACGAGCCTAGTAGAGCAGGCAGGTTACATGCCATTATGTATTTACCTGAAGCAAGTAACCTGCCTGCCAACTAACATCAGGGAGTTCTTACTTTTACTTTTCTTAACTCAATATATCTCTTCTGACGTTTCCTGTATGTCTTGTGTTCCGTAGAAGAGTCAGATAGGAGGCATGCTGGGTCTGGACTGTGGCGACGGAGGGGAAGAGGTGGAGGGGGACAGACAAGGTCAGTGGCTACGGAGACGGAGATTGGACGGAGCTCTCAACAGAGTTCCCCGAGACTTCTACCCTCGGGTCTGGAGTATACTTGAAAAGGTGTGTGATTGTGAGATTAATATCTCCAGTTTCTTCTTACGTAAGGAAAAAACAAAATACCCAGTAAATTTTGTAAACCTAAACAATAAAAAAAACGCTTACAACTTTTTGTTTTTACTTTTTTGAGGTTAGAAAACTGTAACCTAACTTAATTAATGAGAACATCACTTATGAAATCATCATGTTAAAAAAGCCGTACATACAAACCTTAAAGTATATTTTAAGAGTTTAAGGAAAGAAAGTAGGCCTACAGTAAAGTAAACTGGAACTAAATTATAAATCAAATTTGATAAGGGAAATCCTTATAAATATGATTTTAAGGACAGATAATATAAAATGTAGTTCAACAAACAACCAAAGTAAAAACACTCACTTGGATGTTTTTAGTTTATTCGTAATATTTTACGAAATAGTGGGGTCGTATAGCTGCATATAGTGGCAGAATATTTCAGTTCTGGCAGAGAGGCTGCAATTTTAGGTGGTTATAGTATACAAGTTTCTGAACCTAAAACCGCCCAGACCCCAATTTTTAAGGACCTCGGTCGTCCGTAATGACGTCATCAAAATGGCGGCCGTAAGAGGATGCTGGGTCCCCATGAATTGGCTATAACGACCGAATGCCTGAACCGATTTTCATGAAATTTGGCACACAAGTGCTTGAATACATTATCTCGGCCTGGGTTGAAAATGGTCAAGTTTCATCAAGTCATTTCAAAATGGCGGCTGTTCAAAACTAAAAAAAATTATGAGGAAAACAATTGTGGATTGTTTTATACAGGGTGAGTTTTAAAAGAGTTCCCCCCCTACTTTTTTATACATTTCTTAAGATATCAACTTTGAACCATGTCAGATCATTGTAGAGTAGCAAGTACTTCATTTTGACTGGGTTTACATTTTTGGCCGCCATCTTGGATCCGCCATTTTGGATACCGTAGGCTACAAAGTTATTTTTTCAAATGTAAAGATAGGGTTGTGACCCACCGTTTCAAACAAAACCTTTACGCTGAATACGATGCTGCAATCCGTTTAAAAAAATGTTGATCCATTCTAAAGTTATGAGAACTTTTTATAACTTTATTTTTAGTCCATTATAACATTGTGTATTTACAAACTAAGGCCATAATCTCAAAATAGTGCTAGATAAAGATAAGTGGACACCACCATTCATTGTTGACCTATTTTCACTCGGTTATGACGGATGTATTTTTTTCAGCCGCCATCTTGGATCCGCTATTTTGAAATGTGATAAATTATTTTAAATATGAAGGTGGTGTTGTGACCCATCATTTTGAACTACTTTTTTATGTTGAATTCAATGCCGCATTCCGTTGTTCATTGTCATGTTTGGTTTTTGAAATATTGACATTTTAAATCAAAATAATTGTTATATTTTATCAAGAAAGCTTGATAACAAAAAACGGATAAAATAAAAACTAGTCGAAATGAAGTAATCGCTACTCTACAATTATCTGACGTGGTTCGGAGTTGATATCTTAAGAAATGTATAAAAAAGTAGGGGGGAACACATTTAAAACTCATCCTGTATAAAACAATTCACAATTATTTTCCTCATAATTTTTTTAGTTTTGAATGGCCGCCATTTTGAAATGACTTGATGAAACTTGACCATTTTCAACCCAGGCCGACATAATGTATTCAAGCACTTTTGTGCCAAATTTCATAAAAATCGGTTCAGGCATTCGGTCGTTATAGCCAATTCATGGGGACCCAGCATCCTCTTACGGCCGCCATTTTGATGACGTCATTACGGACGACCGAGGTCCTTAAAAATTGGGGTCTGGGCGGTTTTAGGTTCAGAAACTTGTATACTATAACTACCTAAAGTTGCAGCCTCTCGGCCAGAACTGAAATATTTTCCTGCTACCCAACCCGACTAAAAACAACTATAACGTGAGAGTTTATGTTTTTCTCATGTAGCCTAGTATACATTGTTAATCTTTTCTTTGTTAGAGTTTTCTTCTGAACCAGAGCAGTACACTTTTGGGAATATTTAAAGATCGTAGAATAATACAAGTTGTTGTTGTTGTAGTGTGAAGGCTTGGCTATTGAAGGGCGTCTTTTACCACAGAATCTTACTCAGGAGGTAAGTGTTTTAGAAAGATAATCTATACTGTACTTAACAGTAAGGACTTTTTCTGTTTCATCCCTTTCCCAGCCGTCCTCTAACTGATTTTTACGATTGAGGTGTCATTTTAAAGCTTATGATCTAGCGCAACTGTGAATGGTAATTGAAACATAATTTCCTTTAGGGCTTCGCCCCTGTCACATTCAATGTATTTCTAGAGTCCATTTTCAAAGATCCAGTTATGCTGGCCAACTATCTTTACAGCTTAAATGTGAAGTGCAATTCAACAGTTGTTCCTTCAGTTTAATGTTTAACCATATTCAGATTGCAAACAGTTCACAAAAATATATTTTGAATAGACAACTTTTTTGACAACTACTTTGCCCTGATTAAGGTAGGTAAATCACTCTTTATGGATCTAAAATCAACAAATGCATTGTAAATTAGTAGTTTTATTCACCTAATGACTATTCTAAACAAAGATATTCTTGAAAATGTAAATGAGGATCAACTCGATTAATTTTACCTCAGAAACAACCTTTGGACCTTAATTAAACTGTGCAATTTGTGTACTGGTCCCCTCTTACAGTTTATTTAACTATCTTATCTAGATATGTAAAATACTAGGATATTTATTTTTCCTGCAGTTACCTAACAATGTACATGTTCTCTCACTGATTTGAGAAAGCAAGGTGGCCAATTCGCTCATCAGTGAGACAATGTTAACATTGTCTCACTCCAGATTTGCAACGTGAACGCACGAAATAGTGAGCGCGTAACATGCAGACAAGGTTGTATGTGCGCGAAATACGTTGGCAGCACTAGCTGTAAATCAGCTGGTCAGCTTTGTATTTGTCACTTCACATTAAATGTTGTATTAAAAGTCACTTCTGTGTAAAAATATGTTACGTTTCTTCACCAATGTATTTGTTTTATGGTAACTGTAGGAAAAATATAATGTGCAACTCGAGTGCAAAGTACAATTGCCTCACTCGAGAAACCATTCCTAAGTAAGGATTTCTCTCGAGTGACTTAATTGCTTACTTTGCCTACTAGTTGCACAAATAACTATTATTGAAATAAATGATGATATTTTCCATGTATTAATTTAATTTCAATCTCGAGTACGAACCTGTAAGTTGCCTTTAGTAAATCTGTTGACAGTAACATTGTTCACACATGGTTTAGGCTTTAAAGAAAATATATCTGTATTAGGTCTTCCAAGTGTTGCCTAGATTATGTTTCTTTGTTTTGACTTTTTTATATTCCTTATTATATAATCCAAGTAAATTCACTTACCACAAAAATAGTTTACATGTGAATAAGTTAGTTAAATAATTTAGAATATTGTATCGAGGAACATTGGATATATAATTATAGATTATGCAATCTTTTGTTAACATTTAAAACGTTTTCTATAAAGACTATAACTTTTGCACTAAACATTATTGTTGTTTGCTATATTATTGGTTCTCCACAGAATCCATTGGAACTGATAGTAACCTACAACTGTAAAATCATAAACACCCACTTTTTAGCTTACTGGTATTTTTTGTGAGCTTCATTAATTTTTAATTCACCATATGTCACCAATTATACCCTCCAACCAACCAATGACCATAATATTTTTAACTCATTTTTGACATGACAAATCCAATCAACTATGCAAAATACTGTGCTTGTGAGGAATACTCACACTTTTGGGTATTTACCCATTCATTGGCTACTCTAACTTGTATTCTGCATTCAAGATAAAAGCTTATTATGGCTATTGCATTTTATGTAAATAATTTAAAGTACAATCGATTACATCCTAATTAGTTTGGTTACTTAACCTTGCCAAACATTATAATATTATATATGATTTCAGACATCATTACTTTTTGTCAACAGATGACGTCAGGAGAGCTCAAGTTTGCTCTGGCTGTAGAGACAGTGCTGAACACCATCCCTCAGCCGGAGTATCGTCAGCTGGTCGTGGAAGCTCTCATGGTTCTCACCTTAGTCACTGAACACAACGTAGTCAAGCACCTGGGAGGAGTCATCGCAGTAGAGAACCTGGTCCACAAGGCCAACCAGATCTTCCTGCAGGATCAGGTCAGCTCTTGTCTCGACTGCTATTACTTGTGTAATGCTTGGGGAGCTAGATTTACTAATGTTCTATAGTTTTTCAGTACTTCTCTCATATTTTTGTATCCTAGAGAAAGTTTTCTCACAAAACTGTAAAGTGTACGTACAGGATGTCATTCGTCCAACTGATGACTGATTCTTTTGAAAATAACATTTATGTCACCCGTTTTGATGTCAAATGGTTTGTTTTAACATATATCATCTACAGCTTCACTTATTCAGTTTACCAAACTTGATTCTCAAGGTCAGTTATCAATAATGTTTCAGCCAAAGGTTCATGTGCCATTACCAGTAATTAAAAGAAAAAAAAGTTTCTTTCTTTTGTTAGCTTTTTTTAGTTCGTCAAGTATACATAGATTAACAAGGCAAAGAACAAAATAATATGCACACAGATATGAATTTAAAGTTTTGGTTGGATTTCAAATTAATACACTACACTTTTGCAATTATTTTGGCAGAATTGAAAAATGTTAATTTTGATTTAGCATCACTTGAGATTGTTATGAGAAACGTCTCCAACGTCAGTTACTACTAGACTCGGTCATATCACTTTTTTGTCAGATGGAGGTTGATGGTGATGCCACGCTGTGCTGCGCAAAACCAAAAGAAGCTCGGGAGACGACGTCAACGGGAGGCCTGCTGTGTGGAGGCGCAGCCTACATCTGTCAACACTTCTATGACAGCGCTCCTAGTGGCAGCTTTGGAACTATGACTTACATCATGAGAGCAGCTGCCACCATTCTAGACTGTCTGCCCAAAGAAGGCGAGATAGAATGCAATGTCTCGTGAAGCTTTCTAGCCGGTAGTGACGTTAGGGGTCTAGGAAATGAAGGGCAAACTAGGTACTAAATTGCATACTGTGAGCGATGTTATGTTTAAACTGCCACACCACTTTCAACAATCTTAATTGTTTCCCAAGTATACTATACAATTTAGTCTGTAAGATTTTAAATTTTTACCTCAATGTTAAAATACCAAACAATACAGTGCAACTTGGATAATTCGAACACCAAGGGACCAGTAAAATATTTCAAACTATCCAACAATTTGAATAAGATATCAAGTATATAGTAAATTTGGCTTCCTTTAATATCACTGCTATTAGTCAGGAATTGATAGCTTTGATTTGAGTTGATTTTACAAGCGTTAACAATGTCAAGTGCCCTAACTAGATGACATTAGCTCTTACACTATGTTTAGATGTTCACTGTCACTAATCTGTGCTTTGCAAAAAGGATTGGTCACTAGTAAGCTGGCAGGAATGCAACTAATTTCTTGTTTTCATTTCTTTTTTAGCGAATTTCCTATTTGGAATAAGCTAATTTTACTTTACTGTAGATAAAATAAGGTAAGTACTGTTCAAAGTACCGTAGTAGTTTACCCTATTCACAAAGTGCCATATGATGATAGAGTCGATGTATTTTTTCGCCATACTACTGTGAAATGACCTGTTTTCGTTGCATGTTATCACCTGCAAAAATCTATCATTACATTGTTAACTACGGCAAAAGAATGTTTACCATGCAAAAGTAATGTTTACTATCATTTTTTAATTTTGCCGACGTAAACAAACAAATATTTTTTATTGTTTTATCAACTTTTTTAATTTTTTACAACTTGAGTTTGAAGTATTAACTTTAAATTGAAGGCATAACCTAAAAAATGCTATGAGTTTTGTAATGAAGAAAATAATTATTCTTTGTAGTGTAGCAAAAATTAATGTTCAAAACACGAGTGAAAGTGGGTCTATACATATTCTCGACCTTTTAAAGTGCTCGGTAAATCTTGCACTTCAAACATGATCTCAAATATGTAATGACTCACTTTCTACTCTTGTCATGAAATATACTATTACATCACGGATGTTTTTAAATTTTACATGTTAGAAGTTGAAGAGAGTTTTACCAATGCTTGTTTAATGAACACAAAGTTTAAATAATAGCTGTACCTGTGATTATTAAAAAAAGTTTGTATACTCATTTTACCAAATAAATATAGAGTTTACATATTAGTATATTCTTAATTAATATCCTTTTATGCTAATGTATTTGCCCAATGCAAACACGCATCTTACAGTAGGCCTACTGTTGATTTACGATGCCACATGAGTTGTTAAAACATTTATACATAACTAAATTACATTATTTATAATTGCTAAAGAGAAGGTTTGTAGAAAATCTGTGCTGTAAAATCACTTTTAACATTTTACTATCTAATATTTACAACAAACAGACAAGATAGCCTAACTCTTCTTTGACCAGGGATTGATCTTGGTTAGCCATGACTTAGACTCATCACTGAAATAAGAAATAAGCAATAAAGTATCATAAACTGACAAAGTTTTTATCTAAAAAAACTAACAATACTAACTATTTTGAAAACAGACAAACGTTTGTAGCACTGTTATTTGTAATAGGCCCATGAATTCTAATTTTAAATTCAAATTCATTATTCACTCATCACATCATATAATGCACAAGTACAAAGACTGGAGTGTCGTCACAATAAAAACTGAAACTAATAAAGTTAAAAGAAGTAAAATACCTTATAAAATAACCAGAAAAGACCTTGCTTATGATTCAGCGTATTACTATAAAAAAAGTATCTTTAAATGACTCTTCTATACTGTAGTATGGCTTTTGCAAAAGAAGTTTGTGAAAAGATTTGAGGGCTAAGTTACTGGAGTTATCTATTAGTGAAATGCGGTATAATTTATTAACAACTTTTACTGCTATGTATTTCAGAATTGAATTAAAAGCATTTGCCAATGAAATTTCAATTTGTTCTGATGTGTTGAATAGGTATGGTTAAATTTACAGTCATCAACAAGCTAAGCCTGATAAAGAAGCTCGAATTTCTGCAGAGATGTCTTATCTGTTATCTTGAGAGTAAAGTTTTAAAATTCCCACAAATTCTTAAAGGTTTTTTTTCCATTTTGAAGTATACTACCCTTTACAAAAACTGCAAAATGATTAAGGACTAGGATATAGCCTAATAATTTACCATAACAAAATTCATAGGTTTACTCTTTGTGAGAGACAGGAGACATCACAAGACGGAATGCGAATGGCTTGTGCAAGTGAAGAATGTGAGAATGAATTCATACGAGGATGGAGTTTATGGTGATAAGGAGACGGAGATTGAGAGGAAGGTTGATAGATGAGGTGATAGGGATGTGGAGAGGAGTGAGTAGATGGTGAAGGGATAAGAGATCAATGTAGAGACCTACTAATTAACACTGACCAGAGAATAACTGGAACAGAATAGTACATTTCAGGAAGTAAGGTGTTTTTAAAACGTCCCCTAACAGGTGACTCATGTGACAGCCAACGGTGATTGTGATAAACTTTAGTAACCTAAACTAAAGATTAGAAACACAAAAAGTATCCTACCTTTCATTCCTAACAACCTGATCCAACTGATCATTCATGGCCAAGCTATGGAGTTCCTCTATGAGTTGCGCTCGGAACTGGTGCTTGAGAGGCACTGGCTCCACAGCATCTTCTTCGTCCATCAGCTTCTTCACAGCCTCCCCGAGACTTAGAGCATACCACTCCAAGTCTTCCCTGTTGTACTGCAATCAGATACACCAATCAAAATTTGTGTGAGTTTAGTATTTTTAATGTCTACATTGGACTGGACACATTGATGGAAGAAGAAAAAACTGAATATTGAAAAACATACTATGTTTCCTGAATGCAGAAGGCCTTACCCAAGATGGTGAGACCAGGTTGAGAGGGATATGAGGAGGTTGCTGCAGTGCAGACCAAAACCTACTGAAGACCCACCAGGTACTTGCGGTTGCGTTGATGAGGCCAAGTACCGATTAGGCGATTAGGGTACGAGTGGCCACTTAAGTACAAATACTAGCATCTTTATAGAAGTTTGCTTAAGGAGAAAATACTATAGTCTCTAAGTTTACGAAGAAAAAAATAGAATTGATTTCAAATGAGTTTACTTCTAGAGACAATAGAGAACGTGAAAGTGAAATCAACAATTTATTAGTCCACAGAGAAGTAAGATACAGATGATAAATTCAATAGTACACTTAAGTGGTGTGTAAAGAAAATTCTATTGGTCCCTTTCCGCTCTTCTTTCCCCCCTCGCCGTTACGTACTACAGCGCTCACCACACAGTAGGAAGACCCTGTGCGCTACAACTGCTGTACAAAAAAACTATGTGGTTATCGCCGTTCGGGCCCTTCCTTGTTTGGTACAAGTACATTTCAGCCCCACCATACCAGAGCTAAAACACAGCTACACACACAGTTGTCCCATTAGCTTGTATTCTCTGTGATTAGTCCTGGCATCGAGAGCAGATTGGTCTCTTTAAAAATTTAAATAAATTAATAAATTACAATCGTAACTAGAGAATCTTAAGTAAATTTATAGGTACCACTCAATAATTATTCGAGTCTTACTTTATGGTTCAGAAACCTAAGTACAAACTATAGAATCCAAAGTGTTAATAATTGTGTTTAAGAATAGCGTATGTTGAAAAATGTATAGACAAATCCAAGACTAGAAAAACCTAAGTTAAGATTTCAGTGGCCACAGAGGTTTAGTGACTAAGTACAGTGGAACCTCGATAACAAGTTTTATTTAACAATCCCCATGCAAGTTGATTCTTGTTATTGAGGTTGGATACTGTAGTATCTTTACCAATAGAGATACTAGAGTGTAGAATTAATAGTAGGTAGTAGGAGGTGACTATTCAAAGCTAACTATAATACAGGAAAAATAGTTATATAGTACTACAAAAAAATTAAATTAATAACATTGTAAATTAATAAATTAAAATCCAAGATAAGATACATATTTCTAAAAGAAAGAAAATAGAAAATTACACACACAAATAAGCTGTGTGGTGTCAAATAGAAATAGTAATAACCATAGTAGCCAAGCACACAACCCTTAGAAGTTAATGGTTTTCCAAAACAGCTTAACCTAGAAATATTTTAATCTTAATAAAAATAATAGACAAAAACAAAGATTTTGATTTGAGACAGATGTTTGAAATAAAATGTTCTAACAGGTGGTATATGCTATTGATAAACCATAAATAAAAAATAAAAATCTTCTTCATACGAATAACATGGGAACTTGGAAGTCCCGTGGTCAGAGCTCTGAGGTCTAAATTAAAATTCTGGCTCCGTCACGACCTTCTACACAAAATGACCTACAAATAAAAAAAAGAATCATCAAAATCCGTCAAGCGGGTGTTTTGCAATCTGCGTGAATTAAATTACCAATATTTTTAATCCTTCTACACAAAATGACCTTCAAACAAAAAAAATCCAAATCCGTCAAGTGGTTGTCTCGCAATCTGCGTGAACTAAATGACCAATATTTTTTATTATATAGGATAATCTAGGTCTTAACATTGCTAAGTATGCTATTTCTAAAATTGTACTTTTGGATAGAAATATACTCGGAATAGTCATACAGTACAATGTTATTGTTTACCTTCTCCAAATGATGTTTGTATTTATCGTAGACCAGTTCTCTTTTCTCAGGGTTGTCCGGGTACAAAGTCTTGTCAAACAAAGCATACAGCATCTTCTTCTTTAATTTCATCCCCAACAAACTTTTCAAGTCCCGGTCGGGAGTCTGTAAGTCAGTAGAAAAGTATTTGTTTAATCAAATCTAACAGAAAATGCATTTAGTGCCACAGTAAAAAAAAAAACCAATCCTGTTTAAATATCACTTAGAACAATTACGAGTAGATATTCAAAAATATTTCTCGTAAAATGATGAAGATAGGCCTACATTTCAAATTGATAATAGTCAGTATGAAAATAAGAAAAATGTTACAAGTTACAATAAAAAAAAACATCAATGATTTGCTACTCTGGCTAATATTTTGCTTTAAACCTTTTATAGGTCTCACAACAGAACCTTTCTCCAGGCATTTATTTTTATACAAAAATATGCTTTATTAATGGCCGGCAGTTTCAAGAGGAATCATACTTTACAAACCTCTTTCTAGGAACCAATGAACGATCAGTTCGCCCTCCTCTCTCTCCCATATACACCCCTATTAAAGAGTTGAAGCCCAGAGAGTCATGTAGCACAGAGCCCGCTTCCATGTGTCACCGTTGGACGTTGTTAAAAAACACTGTGTTGTTTTTTGTTTGTATTGTATATTTTAATAAGTATATCAAGTGAGGTTTATATTGATTTAATATAAAATTATATTGATTATACATGGTTTTATGTTTGTTGTATTTATATACAGGTTAAAAAGTCTGAAGACCCCCTATTGACTTTTTAATGGGTTACACACGAGTGCATATACTGTTGTATCTTTACCAGAGCTTCGAGAATGCAGAGGAGAGTGAATATTCAAAGCTACTTAAATGAATATGAATATAGAGAAAAGGTCCCTTTCTTAATATTGTTAATATTCTTTATTGAGCGGAGCGAGCGAAGCGAGCGTAGCTCTTTGGGATCAACTTCAATGCAACAAATAAAGCAACATCACTCAATAACGGCAGAATACATTTCAGCTAAACTTAACAAGATTACTTAGACTAATAGTGAGATGGTTAATAAACAAACAAATTTCAATTAGATAATGCTAATGCAATTTAAAACCAACTTAAAATTTCCAAATTTTAACATTAGGCTTATGGGACTAAAGTAGCCATATGACGGTTTTTTGTTTACAAGAAAAATGTAAACAAGAGAATCATAAGGTATTTCTGAACTTTCTAGACTTTTCTTTTAAACGTTTTTAAACCATTCATATGATTTTAATAAACAAGAAAATGCCGTTAAAACATTTTTTTAAGGCGCAGGATTCACTTAAAATCGAGAAAATATACGGAACTACTTTCTCAATGCACGGAGCATAAACAAGGAGCGGAGGGATACGGACCAGTGACTACTTTCTTGAAAACCTATTTGTGTTGCCAGCTGATTAGAAACAGCCAATGTTAGAAATCAGGATTTAATAAGCGATATATCGAACCGCATCGAAATCGATATCTAATCCGATAATACATCACAGGTTATATTATGTTGAATTACATCGACGGTGCAGTAAGTTATTACACTTATTAATAAAACGCAGATTGAACACTGATCTAATTTAGGCATGTGGGGAAGGTAGGTCGGGGTTTATGAGTATTCGTAACTACATTAAGTGTTTTGAAGTAAGGTTAGATTAGGGAGGTAGTTATAGGTAGGTGATCGAGTTGTTTATTTGTGTTGCACCATATAATTTTTATCTTTTGGAATAGTGTGTTAAACGGGGAAACGATTTCAAAAATGTTTGCATATGGTCTTAACAAACCATCTACTGTATTCTAGCATTGACTTTATATAAAGTAAATAATTCTAGCAAATTACTACATAAAAACCAAATGAAAAGAACATTTGGATTTGGACCTTTGACCATAGCAAAACTAACATATAATTTATGAAATGTGAAAAGTTGTATATCATTAAATACTATTCTGTAATATTAATAATTGTTCGGCAAATCCTCATTTTAATGGCTCGGCTGAAAATGAAATCTGCGTTTTGTGAAACAGTAATTTGGTAACAATTCAGTAATTTCAAATGTTGACAACAGTAGCCTATCCTATATAAGTACTGTTATTTGATTGCCAAGCCACGGACTATACATACGTCCAGTTACAACCGTAATAAGTAAACAATTAATTACCTATACTTATAGAAGTACACTTTTAACCAAGGTATGGATAATCGTCTAGGCCGGTCCAGAAGTAGGCTTCTAATTTCTAATTATATTATCTACATTTTATTTTTAAGGCATGACTTCCCTTCTTAATTCTGTTTTCACTTAAATCAGCTGAATATGCGATGTTTACTTATTACTTATGTTTAGACCTACATTTCAGCCATCTTATTTTATTGTTCAATAAGTAAGTCTTTTTGCAGTTTTTACACATTGAAATACATGATTGATAATTCAGTTCATTTTAGTCTTTACATTTATTCTAGGTGTTTTACATTTGAGTCTTACATTAAAATAGCCCTACATTTTTCGTAGGCCTATGTTTTATCTTTGACTATCAATACAACTGATCAATACAAGTGTGTTGCCAACACGATGATATCATCAAAAATGTTTCTAAGTAAATAATAAGAAAGCATGTTAAACAATAAACAGACATTCCATCCCCATGTTAAATTTGTAACCAGCTTTTTCATCAAAATCTTCTGTATCCAATGGCCAATGGTATTATTAAGGACAGTATTAAAATGCCGTCTCTAAATCGTCCTAAATAATGGTAGAAGACCTAAATTCCAGTTACATTACAATCACATCCTCCATCAAGAATACTTGGTATTAACAATAATAAATTATCTCTAGCAAAGAAAGCTGAGTTTAACCAATTGCAGGGGTTGAAATGAAGACCAATGTTTATGTTGCACAGTTGAATTTAAATATCAAATTTCCCCTCCTGCTGTAATACTTTAATACTCGTTTTTTTAATAGTTACTGTTTTTTTTTATACTTTAATATAGCCTACTTTAACCGATTGTAAGGGTGAAAAATGAAGTCCAATGTTTTTGTTGTAGGCTACAGTTGAATTTGAATGTTAAATTTCCTTTCTCTTTTTTATACTTTAATGCCCTTTTTGGATGTTAATACCAGATTCTAACTACTGTAATATTTTCCTGGTCAAAACTACCATAATGCACTTTTGGAAGAGGTATCTGAATAACAAGATGTAGTAAAAACAAATCTGAATTATTATAATTTTAATCAATAAAACCAGCATTAGTACATCTATATTGACTTTTTTACATTTAGTTACTTATACAAAAATATCAAATCACGTTTGTTCCGCTCAACTGGCTTTCACCTCTCTGAAAGCAACCCTAGTTATTAAAGAATATAATATTATTAATTCAATTCAAATTATCTTTATTCATCAAGTAGATTAGAAATATATACATGATTATTATTATTATTAATAATATTATTAATATTCTTTGTATTGGTTTGCATGACTAATATTTTAAACTAGTGGTCGTCCAGTGGTCGAAAACTCAACCAAGTACACGCATTGACTATTGGATACTGAAATTTTAGCCCATCTATATGTACTACCAGCTGCCGTCATTTTTTTATTATAAAACATTGTACAGAAGAGCCTATATAATCGGCACTGTACCACTTCGGCACTCCAGTAATCCGGCGGGAGGTCTTCCGCAGTCGCGGCAAAACTCTGATTATCTCCCGCGGCCGTGTAGAAATCATCATTCTCTTCCGCGGTCATGAAAGCGTCATCGTAGTCTTGCGCGATCATGGCAAAATCATGAGCATCTCCGGTGGTCACAGAAAATTCATCGTCGTCATGCGCAAAAGCGGCAATATAATGAGCAACTCAGGCGGTCACGGAAAATTCATCGTCGCCATGCGCGATCGCGGCAAAATCATGAACCCCCCGGATCCCCTGCGGACGTATCGACGTTATCATCGACTCCCGCGATTACGGAAACGTCATCATCGTCTTGCGTGATTGTGGCAAAATCATGAACATCTTCCGCGGTCATGTAGACATTATCGTTGTCTTCCGCGGTCGTGGCATAGATTTTATCATCTCCGGCGGCCGTGTAAACATCATTGTCTACTCCCGCGAACACGGAAACGTCATCGTCGTCATGCCCGATCGCGTGATCTTCGGAGACGTGTTTTATTTGCCTTGAAGTGTTTTTATTGATAACGTTCCAGTAATCCGGCATTTTCACTAATCCGTCAGTATCACGGTCCTATATCTGCCGGATTAGGCTAACGATTCCTATATGCTGGAATCCATGAGGACATTAGAAACTATAATTAAATGTCTTGAAAAAGAAAATAAAGCTAAAACTGATAAGTTAAGTCAAATAGAATCACAAAAATCTCCATGTTTACGTTGTTTTCCACCTCTTGGCACTCCTACGTTCCTAGAAACATCACCTTCTGCTAAAACACGACAGCGAGTAACTCCAACTAGATCAACAAAAAACTTACTAACCAACAATCCGTCTGAGCCTCAAGAGAGTATTTTTGTCAACGGTAATAACTTAATATCATCACCAGCTCACAATTTTATTATACCTTGTGAAAATTCTTTTGAAATTTTATCTTCTGACACTTTCAATGATGAACAATCCAATGGGGATCTTCTACCTAGTAAGAAAAAAAATTACACAAGTAACATCACCAATAAGAAACAGAAGCCTAGGCCTAGTTCAAATAGATACACCTCAGTAAAATTACCGTCTGTTGTAATTCATCCATTAAAACTTGTCATACTTGCTGACAGTCATGGAAAGAATTTAAGTAATTTAGTACACCAACGGACAACTGCTAATGTTTGTTCATATGTCAGATCTGGGGCAAAGTTTGACAGAGTTACTGAAGAGGTCAAACAACTTTCTGGAGACTTGTCTAAAGATGACTATCTACTGGTAATAGCTGGTACAAATAATGTTGACAGTGCTGGAGAAATGCAACTTATGGAGGATGTAAATAGATTAATCCACAACTCTACCCACACCAATTTGATTCTTGCAACACTGCCTATGAGACATGACCAGCCGCAGTTGGACTTGAAAATTTCACATTTTAACTCTGAAATAGAAAA